TGAAAATAGTATTGTCTTTGATTAACATAACTTTTATTCATTTAATAAAACACTATTTTGACCGGATTGAAGTTATGCATTATTATAAATTTACAACTATTTAACATAATTTTAAATTTATCCGACGTTTCGCGTGCTTTACAGCGTGCGTGGTCACGGTGACTGAAGAAAGAAGTTTGGCACGCGAAACGTCGGATAAATTTAAAATTATGTTAAATAGTTGTAAATTTATAATAATACATAACTTCAATCCGGTCAAAATAGTGTTTTATTAAATAATGAAAAATCATTGATGTTCTATAAATTTGATTCAAAGCAAATGTTTGACGTGATTACTTTATATAACTAGACCTTACAAGCTATATTAGTCAAATACAGTCCACAACTGCGCGTTTTTTTTACCAGCTGCCCACTGAAGTATTTCCAAACCAATTTGACTTAAGAAAAGAGGGTCCTTCAAGAAAAGAGCGTACCAATTCTTAAAAGGCCGGCAACGCACTCGCGAGCCCTCTGGCATTGAATGTGCATGGGCGGCGGTATTACTTAACATCAGATGAGCCTCCTTCTCGTTTGCCCCCTGTCCTATAAGAAAAAAATAAGGGAAAAAAACTATGTAAAGTTATGTAAAAACGACAGTTGTAGAAACCCGCTCTCCGCTTTTACTTTGAACCATGCGGGCGCAAACAGTAGTTTTACGATTGCCTTCAAGAACTAAAGTGACATACTCAACCGTAAAAATACCGGTAATCCTTTACCGAGGCAAGCCTTTCATGGGCGAGAGTCTAGAAATATTTGTTAAATATTTTGGCGGATGACACAATGTTTCTTTTGTGTGCAAAGGAAGTAACAGGAAGATGTAAAAAAAATATTTGTTGTGTGATTATGATAAAAAGTGTATCATGGAACTTGAAAAAAATACAATATTGTTTTTATTTATTACGTGTTCATTATGCCAACCAAGCACTGACGTACGAGTAGTGAACGTAGTTTTTTAACTAAGACGAAATTGTGTTTGACCAGTAAAAATAACCATAAACATCTTAAAGTTACAGATGAATTAAATAATAATGTTCAAAAATTATAATATGTTGCGTGTGGCAGGGAAAGAATGAGAGTAGAAAAAATTCCGTGGAAATGAATTGCGTGATAGGATAAGTAATAGTATGTAAGGAGTGTGGGGAAGTAATGACAAGGTAACGAAAGATAATACTTAGGTGGTTTAGCCATGTAGAATGGATAAATGAGAAGCAGTTAATAAGTAATAAAAAGAGTGGCGGAGAGTTTATTGTCAGTTCTTCTCTTCCGTTCTACGCCCTTGATTTGAGAACTGGCAGTAAATGTAAAATTAGAAACATTTAATGTATATTTCTTTTTTGACGTTCATAAGTGTACATTGTGTTACCTATATGAATAAATTTTTGACTTTTGACTTTTATATACAAGGCAACCGTGGGTGGTGAAGTCGGGTTGGATAGACTTTGTCGAAAATACCTGGACCAAATCCAGTAGGTACTAGAGTAGGACAAGTTAAAAGTTCCTTTAACCGACGAACATGCATGAAATGTCATAAAAGTAGATAAAGCGAGACATTTTAGGACCGTCGCATATGGAGATCTGTGGTCACTGCCTACCTCTTTGGGGAAAAAGCGCGAATATGTCAATAAAAAAAATGTATATTAAATGTTGTTTTATTTTTAAATATTAAGGATAGGTATATATGATATAAGTGTATTTTAAAAGTTTAAGAACTTAGCTTTAAGGTATTGGTAACCCAGCATAACGCATCTTTACTGCAGAAACTAACGCACATTTTCTATATTCCAAAAGTTCTATATGTCAAAAAATAAGAAATATTTATAATATCTATTAAAAATCTGGCAAAAAAATCGCCAAACCTCTATTCCCCAGTGGTGGGTTACGGAGTCTCACATCTAACTGTACCGTAATGTGGCAGACACATTCATCTGTCTGTTTAGATTGTATTTGCCAATAGTACCATCGTTGTCAGAAACATTAATTTATTTCCACACAATTATTGACTATACATAATATATGTCTATACTGAACGCGCGTATATTACTGTAATTAACCATGATGTCCTTCCTCTTAATAGGAGAGTGACTTCTTTATATGTCTGTGTGAGAAGAAATATCAGGCAATACAACAATAATTTTTTTTTGTTCACTATATGGGCTAGGTCTTTTCTAATGATTCTTTATGGAAAGTTTTTAATTTACACTCAAGCCACCAATAGTTTTTAATGTAAACGATATTTTTAATACACCTATCAATTCGGCTTCAGGTTGTCCTACATGAACACGATTTGTCAGCGTATGAAAAGTGCTTTTTCACACGTAAGACCATCTTACTGGATATGTCCTAGCTCATTCGGGGCTCTTGAATAAATTGGTGACCAAACACAAGGGATCTGGACACAAATGCCGATCATTAATACACGTCGCGTCGACTACCAGAGACATTTGAACTAAGATCACATCATTAATATTGGGCAGTACTTGTAGGTGGAAAGGATAAATTTACCCTTTTGTGAAATTTTATTGTCACGAGAAGTCTTGCTTCGAAAAGCAAACATGAATAGGTAATATAATCGATTTACTGTGTACTGAATTTCACGCTTTTTAAGCGAAATTGGGTTATTGGCGACGATTTATTGGGGACTGCTAGAAATGTTATTAATTGCTTACAATTATAACATTCCAATCTGTTCCTACAAATCATAGATAGGCGGTAGGTATATTTTTTCCATATTTCTTCAGGGAACTCGATGTAGATGTTTGTAATGGCGTATAGCTGAGAAGTCCTAGGATTGGTTATTGGTATAACGAAAATTTTAAGTAATAGCTGATTGCGAAACAGTTAACAATCTTCAGATTTGCGTCATACGAGAGTTCTGTTAATTATTTCTTAATGTGCACTTAGATAAATAAAAAAAATCAGTGGCGCTAGAACCTCTTTAGGTCTTGGCCTCAGATTTCTGAATCTGTTTCATGATTATTTTTCAATCTAATAGGCAATTAGGTGATCAGCCACCAGTGCCTGACACACGCCGTCGACTTTTTGGGTCTAAGACATGTCATTTTCCTCACGATGTTTGGCTTCACCGTTCGAGCATTGGTGCACAGCCGGGAATCGAACCTACGACCTCAGGTATGAGCCTGAAGCCACTAGGCCAACACTGCTCTACATAGATAGAAAAATCAATTTACTATAATCTGTTCCTTCAAGAAATGAGCTGATTAATCTTGGTTAAGCGTGGCGTTCTTAACCCACGACCTTAAGGACTGCCCTGCGATTCTGTAACTCACTTTTCGAACTCACACAGCGGTTTTCGCATCGGCGCTCGCTCTCAAATCAGTCGTCGCAGGGCTGTTCATTATTCACGATCCCACAAGATCTAAAATTCGACACATATGGCACAGACTTAATCACAAACTTACCTATATTGACAACGATAAATGAAACAGACGCAAAAATGTATCTGCCTCATGGCCCTAGGTGTCTTCAAAGTGAAATAAGCGCATAAAAATGCTTGCTGTCACACCTCGTCATTATTTATTTGCTTTCCGATGTATTATCCTTTCACGTATCCAGGGATTTTTTTGGTCTGGACAATGCCAGTAGCTGCCGGCCAACCCATTAGCTCGGACGCGACGGGAGCTCATGATCACTTTGCTTTTTAATTTATGTGCTTTGTTGCTTTGTCCGTTTAACAATGAACTTTTATAGTTTAGCTGCCGGACACCCAGATTAATATCGACGTATGGTTTTCTCTCTTTTTGTGCAACACAATGTAACACCTGGTTTTGGATTTAAGGACACTAATATCTTTCCGAGACTATTGTGCAAAAGGGTTGATTTAATGACTGACCGTTTGGCGTGTAAAAGATCTAGGATCAAGGTAAAAGGAATCGTTACCTTCCGTTATAATGTCATATATAATATACAATAGCAACATTAAAAAATATTTATGAATGCACAGTTGGCCGAGCTATACGCTCATCATGAAGAGAAAGACGTGTACAATGTATAACATTAATAATTATTATTTACACAAAAAAATCTTGTTATCAACGTTGATTTTAAAGTGTATATTCAAAATTAGTTTATTTAGACTTCGTCTGCGCGGAATTTGGTTTAAGATATTACTCATATTTTACAAATTGGGCATATCGTTTAGGTATATAGCATGTATATATTAAGCAACTCGAATATTTTTTTTATATGTTGCTGCCTTATCTTTCACTTGCATTTTGGTAAGCAGTTTTCGACTAGCATTTTGTAAAAAAAAAAGTGGCGCAATCTCTTAGGTCTGAGCCTCAGATCTGTTTCCTAATCCTTTGGTGTTTTTATAGAAGGTTGATTACCTACGTAAGCAACCTTCTGTGACGTGTGTCAGGCACAGTCGACTTTTGGGTCTAAAGTCATGTCGGCTTACTCGCTATATTTTGCTTCACCGATTTTTTTTTAAAGAAAATTGAGCAGTGTTAGCCTATTGGCATGCGACTGTCATCCCTGAGGTCATAGGTTCGATCCCCGGCTGTGCACCAATGTATTTGCCGCCGGGGTTCGAAGTTATGGGGATGAGAGTCACACACTGAAGCTACTACGCCAACACGCTTTTAGGTAATCTTTAAATACCAACTTCAACACATTATGTCAATGTAAAAATCCTCAATGTAAGTGTAAAGGTGCCAATGGCCTTTTTAAGGAGGGTGGTGGCGTTTTGTTTTTTTTGGGGGGGGTTGGGTGTCTCCCTTCCCCCTCCCAATAATTTTTGGTAAGTGTTCAAAAGAAATCTAATGAAACACTCGCTTCCGATATATTACATAAACTGATGTAAGAGTGATAAACGCGTAAATAAAAGACAATATAAATTTTAGATTTTTATTAAAATACATAAGTTGGCGTTAAAGTAATAAATAACTGCTTACTTTCGTACCTAATGTATTAGAAAATAAAGTGACTCCTCAGTTTCTCTGTTATTCTAGTTCCACAAGATTATCACCATCATCTCTGATTGAATTAAGCGGTTTTCTGACAAGTTCGCCATGAACTCGCACCCGATACACGCACGTATACACTGTGTGGCCCCAGTTGGAAAATATCCTTATGCGAACTAAGTTAAAGCCCTTCGAGGACGGATGTCGAACTTCGAAATATTGTATAGGTTTTGCATCTTTGTCGTATTCGAAAGAGCCGAAGTCGTATGGGTATGGGTCGTTACGAAATTCTAATCCCTCCAGTTGAAATAATCGGGGCGCTGAAGATATCTCCCTAGAAGAACATATTATATTATAAAGTATGGTGGATGTGTGGAAACTATATCAAGTTAAACTTTAACAGCTGATATGAACGGGAATTTAGTGTATTTATTATTTTACGTAGATGAGTGCTTAACCTATGGAGTTCTACTAAAATTGTAAATAGAACTAAATCAATGCGCTACAATATTTAGGTATTTGCCGATTTTATTTTTCTATAATTGTTTATTTTAGAGTAGGAAATTAATGGCATTTTTTTAAGACATGTCTTTCCTCACATTTTTTTCTTCACCGGAAATGTTGACTTCGCACATAGCCTGAAAGCATTGGTGCACCCCGGGGGAAAAAACCCCCCCCCCCCTGTTAGGGGGCCCCCCCCCAAACCCCCCGCCCCCCCCCCCCCCAATTTTTTTTTTTTTTTTTTTTTTTTTTTTTTTTTTTTTTTTTTTTCCCCTTCCCTTTTTTTTAAAAAAAAATTTTCTTCTTTTTTTTTTTTTTTTTTTTTTTTTTTTTTTTTTTTTTTTTTTTTTTTTTTTTTTTTTTTTTTTTTTTTTTTTTTTTTTGTGTTTTCCCCCCTCTCCTTTTTTTTTTTTTTTTTTAAAATTTGATAATATGTTTGGGTCTGGTATGAAATACGGAACTAAATCTTCACTAAAATAAATTTTAACAACTAAACCAAATTAATTAGGTACACAAAGACTGAAATAGTGTGTAATGCATATGTCTATTGTTAATTTATTGCAATATTTATAATAATACACAATATTTAGGTATTGATCAAAATATTATTTACTGTAATAAAATTAACAAAACTTGGAAATTTCTTATTTAGGTAATTTCTTTTGATACCTACTTGGTTGGTGAAATATGAGGTGGTATATGCTCCAAACTGATTCCAGTCACATAAATGGTGCTCAAAAGGCGTATAGTTGCCTCGCCCTTGGTGCCTTTAAAGGCCCAGCATTCTCCTGGCAATGTACCTGGTCGGATGATGGAAGCAGCGCCCAAACACTCGCGACAGAAAGACGCGACTAATATATGGAGAGCCCAACTGACAGGCGACTCGTGTATCATGTATTCTATGGTATTTCCAGTGTCAACCACTTTAGCACCAGCCGTTTCTAATGCATAATCGACTATCTGGAAGCAAATGGAAATATGACTTTTGTACGCACATTGATTTTGAGCTTTTCTAATCACATTGAAATAAATTGAAAATAACTAGTTTTACTTGAAATAACGTCGGTAATTTTTGGAGTTACCGGTGTGTAATACTTCTACTTTGGTAGATAGGTACACTTTACAATTATTATTTACCTACACTTTTAGTTAGTCAAGCACTTAGTAAAAGCAAATGCTGTGAAAGTCCTGGATTTATCCCGGGAACAAAGAAACCCTTATTAAGTTACATGAGGATGCATTTACATAAAATGTGCCCTTCAGGGGTTTTGAGACTACCTGTCTGTCATAATCGTGGACATTAAGACTGTGTCTACTCATCCTCGAAGGTTCAAGCGCGTCCCTCGCTCGTCCAGCAGCCGCTGCCACAGCGGGCAAGGTTTCCGATATACGCTCTATTTCGCCTTGCAATTTTTCATGTTTTCGATTTATCTATAAAAATAATACCTAGATTTGTGCCGTCACTATACATGCCTGTGTTTATGACTTATTTATTTTTCGAAAATAAAACAAAAACTATGATAAGTGGCCGAGATATCTTATGTTCATACTTCATATTCAGTAAGTACTGCATTATCCCTCCTGAGTTCCTAACCTAACACCCCTTTTATGACTTACATACAAGTCGTAATTGCTAGGAGTAGTGAATTTTTAGAAGAGAACGACTGGAAAATTCGTAAAGGCTATTTTTATCCACAAATATGAGCTCTATTTCCCTTCGTATGCAATTAAAGCTATTTTATTATTTTGCAAAGATGGGAGAGGGAATGGTTGCAGCTCCTTACAGACTTTGTAAAAAAAAAAAAAGTTGGATTTTAAAAAGGGCGGCGGGGTTTTTTTCCCCCCCCCTTTTCCCCCCCCCCCCCCCCTTTTTTAAAAAAGGGAGAAAAAAAAAAAAAAAAAAATTTTTTTTTTTTTTTTTTTTTTTTTTTTTTTTTGGTTTTTTTTTTTTTTTTTTTATTTTTGAATTAACCTCAGTGAGACCGTATGACAATTGGGTTATTACATCCTTGATATCAGTGAAGTCCCTCTCGATACCGTCTGGTGGGACCCAAAAATGTGATTGGAGATGAAGTCCAAGTAACATGGAAAGAACCACACAGACAAACGATCTGAACGCATATCGGCGGAAACAACTGGGTTGTTCGTAGGGTGCGTAATGCATAAGTGTAGAAAACGTGTTTTTGATTTTTATTCTTATAACAGAAATACTTTTAATGATAACAGCACACCACACTTTGACAATATATAGAAGATAAACCAAAGATAATGTAAAAATCTTTAAAAGATTTACAGAATAGTCTATCGTTTATGAGTTACCTACTTAAAACATAAGTAATCTGGCTTACACCATTGAAGTACACCATAAAAGCTAACACAGCATGAACAACAAAAAAGTAGACTTTAAAATATGACAAAAAAATTAAGCTTAGTCACAACAAACATAGATAATATAAAAATATTTAAGATTAACGTGCTATTTTTATTTTGTAAGTTAAGAAGAATACGACGAAACTGCGACAAGGAAAAGGGACAAGATATATCCATCGCCAGCTGTTTACATTTCTACATACGTGATGTTTAGGTACGTATAAAGGAATTCAAACCGAGTACACTTCCTCGAAAAGGTGGAAGGAAAACTTAAAAGTTAAGGTACCTTTTTGGGATATTAAAATTTGTTTTATTTAGTAATTGTGGTCAATAAATATTTGTTTTGGAAAGTTTTGAATAGGAATAACACTATTAAATCAAGACGATTATGAAGGGACATATTAAGCATGTCCGGTTTTAGTTAATCACTTATGAACATTAGTCAAGGGGAAAAGTTTTTGAATGATTTGCTTATAGACTTATGAAAAACAAAGTATCTTTATCTTATTGATTATCTTTTCCAAAGCTATAAATTAAAGTCAGAGCAGCGTTGGCCTAGTGGATCCGCGTGCGACTCTCATCCCTGAGGTCGTAGGTTTGATCCCCGGCTGTGCACCAATGGACTTACTTTCTATGTGCGCATTTAACATTCGCTTGAACGGTGAAGGAAACAATCGTGAGGAAACTGGCTTGTCTTAGACCCAAAAAGTCAACGGCGTGCGTCAGGCACAGAAGGCTGTATATGAAATACATATACAATAAAACAGTATTGACTCATTACATATTGTATTTCCTTGAAAACGTCTCCATACAAAATTGTGACAATCTATTACAAATAACATGTGGAACTTATTTTTATCATTGCGGCACTGTGACAAGAACATGAACATATTTTAAATATTAATCCATTTTTAATAAGTATCGCAACGGCAATTCTGAAAATTAAGACAGGTTGAAACTCCAAAACATTTATCGGACTATTTGGTTACGACAAAACACTATCTCTAATGAATATAGATTCAAAGTATTTTTCTATATAGATCGGAAAACACCTCCTCCTTCGGGTTATTCGAAGTCGGTTACTAAAACATCCCCCGGATATAAATTTCCTATGACTGCTATAAATTATTCAAAACTTATGTTAATAATATAAATTCACTTTAATATCATACAGTAGTACTTTTAGATGAGTTGAGCGCCACCTAGCGACAGCTGTGTGACTTGAATCCACTAGAGATAGTTGAATGTGTAACATATCTATAATTTAAGCTTTCTGCTGCTGTGCTGCGTATTCCACCTGCGCGGTGGTAACAGATTTCATAGATTCGTGAGCTTGGTTTACGTTGGCACGCCACGCGTGTAAAACGTCCCGCAGATGTTGCCACTGGGCGGGGCCGAAGGTACGATGCATCGTGCTGGACACGCGGACCATACGTTGCGCTTGATTCACGCGTGCGCGTACCAGGCGAGTTTTCAGAACTGCAAAATATTTGTGATATAAGTAAAATCTTTAATGACGAAATTGTAAACAAATGCACACAGAACATTTCAATAATTTTCTCTATGAATATAAAAGCTATCTTTTTCTTTATTTTATATTTACATTTGAAAATATAACTATTATAGATAGCGGCAATATAGCAAATATGTGGTGTGTTTGAATGTAGTCTATATATAATAGTTAAAAACGCAGATCATGGTCAAAAATACACTTTAAACTTTGCAACAAGTAGATTAACTATAAGCTTTGTCTCATATATTTCTTGCTTTATCAAGCAGTCAAGCAGATTGTCATGATAATAATATATTGATTTTAAAAAAAAATCTCAATATACAGACATATTATCAACCTTATTTTATGGATTTATGCACATTTATTGACATGCACAAAGAGCAAAATACATTCTTACATAGGATTTAAATAAATTGTATGGGTCAATCCGGCTCGAAGGATCAATGTTCGATGTTGGGTTAAATTATAAAGATATTTAAAACGATAATTATTTATTTAAAGAGCAATGGACTAAACTAGTGGAGTTAGATGAGATTGGGGTTACAGTCGCGTCCGGTACACGACTATATAAATTGCATGGTGTCATTTGCATTGCAAATACCTGTACGGTTGTAAACCATTCATAAATAATTATGTATGACTAAATTTAAAAGTTCAACTGATTTTGAAACAGATTTATTTACTTGGAACCAATGCAATTAATACTCACTTTCTACTGAGATCGACAAAAGGTCACAACATCTTTAATATTATTATAAATAATAAAAGTTAAGCAAATCTGAGACTTACCTTCAATAATAAAGGCTTCTACATCTTTCTCGTCAATTTGCAGTTCTGAAGTAATTTCATCAAATGAGAGTTCAGGGTTCGATTCTGCGATCTGCATGAATGATAATATTCTCATCTTTTTGATGTTCTGCTCATGATTTAGGCCTGAAAATCATGATTATAAAGTGGTTGGTAAAATATAAGGTATTTAGACATTGATGCATTCAAATGCTGACCGTTAACTATTTTAATAAAATAATTATTTTTTATTTAGACATTGGTAATCCAGAGTTTCAAACACATTATATGTGTATATTGTGAATATGTGAAGAATACAACATTTTAATTGAAATGTAATAGCTATAGAATAGTTGGAATACAGTCAAAGAAAAAAGCTAAATTAAATAATAACAGAACATAAAGTCATCTGGTTTCTCTAAAAATTTATTTGTATTGTTATAATTATCAATAAATTACAAACAGAAATTTGGCCTCTTGTGAGTGGAAATAATCATAAATTTATAAATTACCTTGGGAATGTACAAATTCCTTGTGATTTTCGTAAAACTTTTGGTAGCTTGACAGTTTTTCGGAGACGAAAATGGACAGTAAATCATGAATAACTTCTCCTTCCAAAAAACGTACTGGTTTGAGCTCTAGTAAGGGATCCAAAAGGAATGTGTTGGGGTCTGCCAAAGCAGTTACTATACATTTTATGGCATCTTCTCTTGCATACGAAGCATTCTCATCTGTGTAAGTGCCTAATAACTCAATCATAACTTTTGAAGCCAGTTCACTGAAATAAAATAGAAATCATATGAAATCAATCTTTTAACTTTAATTTAAAATTATTTCGATGTTTCTAAACATCAAAAAGAAATCATCTTTGAAACCTACATGTTGCATTTACCTTTATGATAGTTGCTTAAATTAAAAATACTACAAAAATCATAAGTAAAAAAATGTTGGCAAAACATTCTGTATCACATATTATATACTACACTGAATATATACATACAGTATACACTGAATATTTTAAAGGTGAAGTAGCTGTTTGTTTGGCTAAATATGTTTATTTTTGGAACAGTTAGGTTTGGCCATAAAAGCTAATTGGTATAGTACTACTAAATTAAGATGAATACTCAACTAATGGAAATATAAAAGCGGTGCTAATACCTGTTATTATCTTTTAAGACTTGATGCAATAATCTATACAGTTTTTGCATTTGCTCACTAGTTGGTGGGCAAGACGCAAACTCCTTTTTGAGTTGTTCAACTCCTTTGAAGACATCTCCCACTGCACCAATTCGTGCTGCAAGTTCTATTACATGGTAATAGACATGGTACCGGAGAGGAGAGTTGGTCTCCAAATTATTATATAGGCGCCACAGACTGAAAGAAACAGATTAATGTTAACATTATTATGGTAAGTACCTTTATCAATTAATTTAACTAAGTATTATTAAAAAGATATATTAAGATAAACTGTATAAAATGCATTCTAAAAATTTCTACTGCTTCAGTGTGACATACGGGTGTCTCCCACTTAGCTCTACGTCTCGTATCTGAATCACTCTAAAAACTTCTCCATGCAATTGAGATCCAAGCCACGAGTTCTATAAACTTATTGAATATGCTCACTGATTTCATATGAATAGCTACCTCTTGAAGGTCTGTTAAAAATCTACAGAAACACCTCTTAAAATCACATTCAACAATAGTCACTTTTGTAATTCATGTATTTTTTTCATTCTTTTTTATTGTATTTTGGAACCTAGCATTTAATAAAACTTATGATTAGCTTTTTAGTTAATTTTTATTTTAGATTTTAGTTTAGAAGTTATGTAATTTATCATTGTTACTTGTTTACAATTTTATTCTTAGACACTAATAAGATTATATAACAACTTACGCTTGTAATGAAATCAATCCAAGTTTAGGTTCTGGAGCTTTACCTAATCTCTGACTAAATGCCACAATAAGATTCTCACCACGTTCTAATGGTATCTGAAATAAATATTAAGTACTTTAATTCTTTATTGAATTTAGATTACTAAAACTTTAAAATAAGTTTTTAAAAATTTAATTTGAATAAAGAAATGAAATGATTCTATATTTACATATATTTCTAGTTCTCAAATCAAGTGTTAAGAAATACTGGTAAAGAAACTCTCTACCGCTCTTTATTACCACAGTTTTTGTTCCAAAAGATGGTAGTCCCATCTACCACCTTTTAGCTCCATATGCCTTATTAAAGCATCAAATATAATAACAATCAGTTAGGCAGTACGAAATAGCGCTCCTATTACATTATAGTGACCACAAAAGGCATAAAATGCAAATAATACTTACAGATACCATTATAGACACAATACTGTTTAGAACTGCTTCAATATCTGCCTCATTGTTCTCTTTGAAACAAATATCACAAACACCAGTGATTTTGTGTAGATCATCCTCTATACCTTTAGGAGACTTTTCTTCCGAAATTTCTGCACCAAGGTTCTTAAAATACTTCCTTACCTCTAGAGCCTAAAGTGAAAAATAATTATCAGTTAACGAAACGTTAACGCTTCAGATAAATACCAAACCTGTTCAAATGCAATGATCAGGTTATCATATGCAACTATCAAATTCCATTGTAATTGTTAGCATCACTGAGGATGAATTACCTGAATGAACACTTAAGTAGTATTGCCGAAAAACTATCGAGGTTATGTTACTTCATGTTAACTTACTTGATCCTCAAGGGATATATCCATAAACACTGCTGGTCCTTGCATTTTGGTATATTCCGTTTCACTTTGATAAAAATGCTTTAAATTTATGTATTAACGATTTAATCACTCCAAAATACATGAAGACGTGGGATACACGATCGTAAAAGCAAAAGCCAAAAGAGCTAATCGTAAATGTCAATTGACATACGTTGTGAAGACGTAGCGCGTCAAGCTCACGATTATTGCTGTCAAAGTTAATGATCAATGTGCGTTTTCCAATTTCCGCCCTTGAGGGGTTTTTTGGGGTTTTTTTCCCCTTTTTGTTTTTCCAACAAAAAAAACCTTTCTTCCAATTGACACAATCATAGAATGAATATATTAAATTGTTACAGGGATGAACTGGTTCATGAATAAACGCGAAACTATTTTTTTAAATACATAGCAACGCCATGTATTGAAGACAGTAGTAATTAATCTATTCAGCATTTGTTTTTATTTTACATGACTTTAAGTAGCCTTAAGATCGCTATATTTCAATTTTGTATTCTGTATGGACCAAAGTCCTTTGCCTTTCCCATTAGTTAGGGATACATTAATATCAACATGTCAGTTTTGAAGTTTTCTTGCCATTTTGACTTTCGTAAAAATAGTAAACAAACATTTTTATTAAACCATTGTGCACGTTTTAAAAAATGTCTGGGTTCCATAAAATTACAGAATCATGCTTAAGTGTTACAGGAACTAAATTGAAGAACAATTTACTAGTGTTATCGTCTGGCATTCCTTCTCTCGATTATGTTATTGGTATGTTACTGATGATATGTATTGGTTAACCTTAAATCTTTTTCGGAGCCCTGTTGACCTGTTTCATTTTTTTTAGGTGGTGGATTACCAACTGGATTTAGAGAGGAATATTCGCCGTAGGTATGTTTTTTTTTTTACTTTAAATATTCGAAAATTTCTTCCAGATTAAAACAAATTTAAGAAGAAGCACAACTACAACACTGTAACAAGATTGTATTAGAATGCTTCTTTTATACTGAATAATAAATCTCGTTGCTTATAATAAATGTATTATTGTAACAGTTTTACATTTACATACTTTAGTTAAATTCATAACAATAAAGCTGTGCCCATATTCCCTATACTTACACACACACACATATATATTCTCACTTTTGATCCATTAATAACTACCTTTCTGCATCATCTAGAGCAGAAATAAAATATATAATACATATATCTTTTACAGAATCAGATGTGTTGGGCAGCTATAGTAGGGTGCTCACAAAATATTTTATAGCTGAAGGTGTTGTTTGTAAACATGATTTGTTGCTTTTTTCTGCTGATGAGAACCCAGAAGAAATAGTAAGATTTGAATTGAATGTTTAAATATTCTTCATGGAATCTTAGATAGAATCAATGCCTGTAAAAATGTGATTGCTTCTAAACTTGTATCTTATTAGAACAAACTCAAACAAGACGACAATACCTTATTAAAGTTTATATTGTCTTATAAGATTGGTAATAACCAGTTCCTCTTATGTTAACAAATAAATCTTTTTTAAATTGTTGTGACTAAATATTATAATGTGTTAAAGTCATAACTTTCATAAATAATTTATAGGTCAAAGAGTTACCTCAGCCGTGTGTGGTACAAAAAGATGATAAAATAAACAAAGTACCCCAAGATGAGATGAAAATAGCATGGAGATATGAAGGTTTAGCTCAGGTTGAGTCCTCCTTTGACGATGAAACCAATTTTGGTCATCATTTTGATTTAAGCCGTTATATTGATACAGATACTATTAAGAAAAGTAACATTACATATTGTTTTTTAAATCCAGTTGACAATGGTAAAAAGGGTGGTAAGTGAAACTTATATCTACATAGGGCTTTTTTAAAACGAAATTGAAGTATAAGATAATTTAAAGTTTCTTATAAACAATGTTCATTATTTCAAAACTAAGTACATATATAAAAGGCAAAAATTCCAAGCTAAGCCTAATTAGCCATTCTATCTACAGTCTAGTCTCTTAACCAGCGCTGTTTAAAGCGGCCTATACAATATTCAAACATTTGATCAAATGGCTAGGCAAATGACTTGGATTGATGACATATCATTACTTGCCTAGCCTGCAGCCTGTATTTAGTTTCATTTTCTGCCATCTAGAGTCAAACTGTCTATACGCTAGGCGTTGCTCATGATTTCCAAAGAACAGTAATTTTTTATTAGTCACAAGGGTTATTGTATGAATGGCCTAAGCATTAGCCGGCCAGTTTATTAAATTTTGTACCAAATGCAACGGCTGAATATTAGGAAGTTGAGTGAATGGCTAATTAAGCTAGTTGGATGCGACATATATTTAATTTATATTGAGTACTTTATGTGAAATTTTCAGCATTCAAGAATGGGCTTTTTACTCAAACTCTGAACAAAATCAAGGATGTTCTAGCCAATGACTTATACAGAAGAAGTAGTAAAAAGAAAAATATACTTAGAATCAGTATACACTTGCTAGGGTCTCCAATCTGGATGGCAATGGATTGTGATGAAGAGCCCATAGATAATAAATATGGCCATGATTTAATAAAATTCATGTACTGTTTGAGAATATTACTAAGGGATACAAATGCTGTAGCTTTCATTACAATACCATCTCATTTATTTGATGTAAGTCGTTGAGTTATAAAGTCATTTGTTAAATATTTTGTAAGCTGAAGTTGAAACAGAAATGTAAATCGAAAACTTTTTTATCAACAGAGTATCTATAGAACTTTGCAACTATTTTGATCTCTTGGTTTTTACACCATTTTTAATACAGATTTGGTTTAAATTTAGGTTGGGTAATTTATTAGTTATGAAAGGTAAAAAGTAAAAATCTTGTACAGAAGCCTTAATAAATAGCTAAGGTATCATATGATTTGTGTTCATAAATTAATTTAAAAAAATATGCTTAATTGCAATACAATTTAGTTAAATAAATTGAAACAACAATTTTGACATTGTCTTCTTTAATTATTTTTTAAATGTTAAAAATTTACAGCAATGACGTGAACGTGTTTTGGCAGAAATTTGGCAGAAGGTTAAAATTAATTGTAATATTTAAAAGAAATAAGGCTTGTACTCTTTTGTCACTTCATCATACGAAAATCAAAGCAAATATCTCGGCGAATCCCTTTAATCACTGACTATTTTGTTTTACAAGATGTACTTTGCTGCATATTGATTCACTTCATTCAGAATGATTTTAATTCCAGGATGACCACATAATGAATAGATTGCTCTACTCAATGGACAATGCAGTGAGAATAGAATCATTTGCTGGATCAGATAAAGAAACGAACCCAGTGTTCAATGAATATCACGGCCTGTTCCATTTAACAAAATTATCTGCATTGTACTCTCTCGTGCCGTTTGTGCCTTCTAGTCTGGATTTGGCATTTAAACTTAAGAGGAAGAAGTTTGTTATCGAGAAATTGCATTTGCCACCAGGTGAGCTGCTTATATTCGAAATACATTGAAGCGCAGGGAGACAAAAGAAAGAAAAGCGTCGTTGAGTTTTGGCATTCTGGGCCCACCAAAGTGGTTGCGGCCGGTAGCGCTTGCGTTGATAAAAATTCACTAGAAACGATAACCTAGACCACATAATAAGTCTTAACTAAAATTGTTCTTATATATTTTAAGTACATGACTAAAAGTGAACATTGAGAGCCTTTTTTGCATTGTTTTTTTTTTAACTGATTCTTAACTTCAATTGTCTGTATAGTCAAGCGATTTTTTTCTTCAAATAAGTGAGAAAACCGATGCAAAGAAACCCAAGATTAAATTTTTTGTGTCTACATGGCAACTTTCTTTTTGTCTGTCTGCTCTGCACTGTTCTATTTTCTTGACTTATTTTATTTTCCCTCACTAAGGTTCCTTGGATGCATCTGAAAAGGCCGACCTATTAGCAACTAATTTCTTTTTAAGTTTGCTTGAATTATTATTAAACTAGTATATCGTAAATACCGGTTTCACAAAAATAATAAGAGACAATCTTGGTAATATTTGTGCATTTGAGATTGCCTAGTTTTTTATACCGATTAATCGAAATTGGTGAATTTAAGTATAATAATAATAGTAATAAATAAATCGCAAATTATATTTATAATAATTTTATTAAAGCAACTCAAAAAAATACTACTATTATTTATAATGCTATTTTATACTTTCAACTTTTTACAGAACTCGAAGAGTCCAGCGAACGAGAACAAGACGACATCACAGCGGTACCGCGAGGTTGCGGCGGTTTCAGAAAGAAAGATATAGAATTTTAAGCTCAAATATATTTCCATAAAACACGGTCAATAAATTAACGTACAAAAGTAACTCGTGCATTCATTTCAAAAATTCCTTAATTATTAGTCACCCCAGCTGATCAACAGAGCGTATCTCCTTAAAACCGGCACATCTATTCTGCATACAGTCAAAACGATAACGAGCTAACGTGGTCCTGTGTGTTGCTTAGAAATTATTAAAAATATATATTTGAGTTCCTGAAGGATAATGAAACTGAAAAAAATTGCAAGTGCTAATGTGCTTTTTGGTTGTTTTAACAGTGTGTTCTTTGTAAGTGTGCAATTGTTGCCTTTTTAATATACATAATATAATATGGGCGGATTGTTCGTAATTTTACTGTAAAAATACTATTAATATTTAGTGTGGGTTAGGTTGTATTAAAATTATGATTCCCTGCTGATAACGTTGTGCAAACTGGGCCATAGCGCATACATCTGTTTGTCTAATAATTTTATAATTTGGCTTTGAATTAATATATGATATAGGTTTTGATTCTATTAAAATTTTTGTTGAAACTATTTTTATATTACAACTGGTACATGGGTACATTACGTTCCGAAACGCGTTACAATTCGTTGTCGGTTTATCTAATTATAATTAACAGGCAAATTACTTTCGCCCACTGATTATGAAATGATAGAGTACTAATTGTTCCGTGGTTTGGACCCACTATGCTCTAGAAAACCCATCTATTAGAGATGTCGCATTACCTGGTGTAGCCGTTGCTAAATATAGAAACGAATTTCTTGATTTATAGGTATGTGGTTTTGCACAAGTGGTGTGCGGCTTCTTTCTACTATGCGACACTCGAAGAATTCTACTTTCGCGTTTATTAGCAACACCAGAAGATGGCTTGGAAGAGCCACCATTTTATTACGTAGCATTGGCTTTGCTTGCGTCTGGTCTCACGATTTGCACGTTAGCGTCTTTGGGCGTCTGGGCTACTTGTATGCCGGGATATATTGTGCTAACATTCGTAAGTATATGCCCTTCATAAAACTATGGTTTATGAATTGGTTGGTATGGCTATGAATTTAGTAAGCTGCTAAATTCATCATGTAATCATACTAATAGTCTACTTTATTACGACCTAACCTAAAACTTGGTTTACGCGTATATACTTTGAGATTCTAGTTGCAGCTTTAATTTAGATGACTGTTTCGTTAGCTTTTATATTACATATTTCAACAAATAACTCAAAAACGATAAGGCCAAAACATTTAAAAGGTATTCGTAGTAGCTGTGTGTATGAATTAGCCGGCAATTTACGTCCGTATAAGGATGGTGCTCTATATAATAAAGTTTTTGTGATGATTTCTAAACACATCGTTGAGACCTAAATAAATATGTTAATACCACCCTTATTATATATATAAATTATATTTTATTTTTCAGTATTTTCTAGTTGTGTTATCCTTACTTCTCTGTGATTGCACGGCCGGAGTTATTTCAGCGATTTGGCCTAGATGTTTTGGCATTCAGAATACGCGAGGTGGATCTGTTGGAGCTTTGCAGGGTTACTATGGAGTTCCTGACTATGAAGATTTCACCACTGCCGTGGATCTTGCTCAAACTGAGGTGTGTGGCGCACTTAATGAGATTTATTGTTTAGATATATTTTTAGAGAATACAAAGGTACTTAGTTTTGGTTTGTTAGAAAGAGTTAGATTAATATTACGTAAAGAAAAATAAGTTGTTACGTCATACCTACTTCTTAAACGCATTTTGAATTGAACTTGTTCGACTTTAATACTATTGAAATATATCGTTACGAAACGACATATAAAGTTTTATTTATTCGGCGAATGATGATTACAGTTAAAATGTTGCGGCATGACAAGCGCCCGAAACTACGACATGTCGATATGGCAGTTGCGGCGTTTGGGCCCACGCGGTATGTCTGTTCCGTTGAGCTGCTGCGTGCAAGGCGAAGAGGAGTCCTACCTCAATCCGGCGCCTGTTAACCAGTCCAGGTGTCAGGAGGTTACGCCAAATGCCCAGTTTAGATATGTGCCGGTAAGTTACTGATTTATTATAATCAGATTAGCTGATGGTGATGTAGAACTGAACCATCAATGTGGTTTTTAGTAACCTTTTTAATGAATATTTCAGAAACGTAATTTGCAAATTTTAATATTCTACATACACTACACACCTTATAAGATAGAAAGGTTAAACGATTTTGTCTCAAGATACCTTTCAGAATACGACTCTTAAATAAAAGGCGCATTACTTAATAAACCTGTACCTACAGGAAACACCCCTTAAACAGTGATTTGTCATTTATAAAGCAGTTTTTAAATATCTATCCATTATTAAGTTGTATCCTTGCTTGGACGTCATCATTTACGAGTCCTAAATGACTGACATAACAAAAATTTCGATAATACGTACAATTTCTCAGCTATCTTTCTTTCAGGTTTGGGAGCGTTCAAGTATTACGTCACGCGATTTTTGGAGATTATTAACCCCCCCCCCATGTAACGCACCGTAACGCCAAAATTCGTTACGTTATACTTGAACGTTCCCTTGGTCGATCAGACTCAAACCAATACGTATGTCTTTCCAGGGATGTCTGATGAAGTTAGAAGATTGGTATCAAGATCAATATTTCATATTGATGATTGCACTTTTTGTCGGCGCTATCTTCAAATTGGGGATTCTACTTACCACAGTCTTCTCTTGCATTCAACTCAGGAAACATCGCCGAGTCAAAATGTTCGTAAATGATAAAAAGGAAAACATTTATGAACGCACTGACGAGCCGATAACGACGAAATACATACAGCCTAATAACTTCTACAGTCCCCGGGTGAGGAACCCAAGACTTTTTCATACAAAACCCAACGAAATGGTCTGAGAATTAGCCATGGAGATAAATACTTTAGAGAAAAAATTGGATAAATTCTCCGATTTATTGTACAAACATCAGGCCGAGTCTATTATGTGGTAGTTTTAGCCATAATCTAGGTTCGAATCGCACGCATTTTTAGAAAGACTGATTTATTTACTTACCTGTAAAGGAACATAAATGTTATAAAACATTAAAAGAGGGTAGAGTGCCATACTGATCGATCATTCCTATATTATGTGTTTTGAAACCGTCACATACATTCGCCTTCTTTCATCAGACCTTTAAACTCTAAAGTATTTAGCTCCATGTGAAGAATAATTTAGCTTTAAGCTTCGTTTATGTATTATAAGTAAAATTAAACACAATATTTCAATATGTAATATTATTTTTAAAAGAACATTCAAAAATTGGTCCTAAAGTTAAAACATCGTTAACAATGGCTCTGGAATGTCAACATCTATTGTTTAAAGAGAGCTTTATAAATAATAAGGCAGTTACAAATATGAAAATGTCAAAAAAAATCCAGATTTCCAAAACCTCACCCCTAAATGATACATGAGATCTTAACAATAACAATATTTGATTAACCTATTCACCACTGAGACCATCACAGTAGAACTAATTACATCTTAGGTACAGGAATGATAAACTATTGCCCGATACTCCGTTTCAATTCAAGAGCCACTCAAAATTTGCAATGGCCACATATTTCGACTGATAATTAATATAAATTCTCAGACATTTGGTAAAAGGAATAATGGAGGGTAGTCAGATTGGTATTACTGAAACTACCCACATTATTTAATATATATTTTTAAAAAGATTTTTACAATAAATAGAAGAGGAAACGTTAGATTGTCTAATATAAACTACTAAGGATTTTTATCAAAATATTTACGCTTCGAGCGGCTCCCAAATTGATAAAACCGGGCTTACACCGTTTAAATGTACGTTTGCTACATTTGGGCCATTCGAAGGCGGACTGAATGATCTCGAAAGGAGGTCGGAACGAACACACTGCTAGATAATATATTGCCCCAAACTGTCATAAATAAATGTATTTCGATGTAAATAAAATTTATTGAATGTCTTTTGTGCTATCTTACCCCTATATTAACAATAAATAGTATACAGTTAAAAAAATCTACCGCATAAATGGAAAACTGAAAGATGGCAACGCTTCGGCCGGACGACGCCGTAAGTAAACTTCACCAAAAATCTATACAATTTCTATACAAGTGCGCCATCGCAACTATTCAATACTAATTACAATAAATAGTCTATAAAACAAATGTCGTAAAACATTAAAGATTTAGGAAGAACGCTACGTTAACGAAATCTGGTGAAAAATTCACGATTTAACTTTGGTCAACAATTTATTGGTCACGAATTTGCTCGCTCGGCTTTGGAGTTCATATGAAACGTCCGAGCTAATGGCTTTACACAATTACAATAATGGGTTTAAAAATGTTCAGTTCGCGAAATTATAATGAATTAAGAAAGGTTATATTCTGAAAAGCAATTCGCAATTATAAAATAAAACAGCATTTCACAACATATTTAATATTTTTTTGTGTATACGATTTGCTTTAGAAAATTGTAATATGAATCACTGAGTTCCGCGTATGAAAAATCTCACATTCACCACTAGAGGGCGTTCATGCAAATATTTCACGATTTCTAATTCATATTTAGATTAAAACCCCGTTGATAAACTCTAAATCAGTATAACATTGTACGGCTAAAGTAATCATTCCTCTCTCTCCATCGCATTACGTTCACAGCGGGACGAAAAGAGACGGACCGGTACTTCGTTTCGCGCAGCCATTAACTAAGACGTGAATTCTCAAAATTTCTACCTACATTAACTATCCGAAGCCGGCGACCGCTTATAGTATGTCGTTCAAGAACGAATTGTCCAGCGAGTTGAGCAGCTCTTGGGCCGTCAGGTTGCTCGTGTCCGAAGACGGCATGTTGTCTAAGAAGTCGAGGTTGAAGTCGGCCGTCTGCCCCGAGAAGGCCGACTGCAGCGAAGGGAAACTGTTCTGGTTGATCCCGTTCTGAGAGACCATCGAGTTCATGTTCTGCGAGTGCATTTGCATTCCGTTCTGCATGTTCTGGTGGTTGCCCATGCCCATGCCGCCCTGCATGGACATACTCTGCGACTGGTTCATGTGTATGTTCGGCATCTGAAGGAAATTCATTTACTTTTTAAAGATCATCCTTAAGGCTATAAGCCTTTTTGTTGCCATAGTAACAAAAAGTACAGTATACGCACCTATAACGCGGTACCACTATAAAGCGACCCATATAACGCGGAGATTTCTCAACTTATATTTTTGTAGTGTGAAATTTACAATTATTTGTCAAGTCCATAATTAGTTTCAATTGTGTTGTTATAAAATTAAACTAAATAACTTTATTAAAGTGATCCTATTTTTTTAATTGATCGAAAAAGTACGAGAATACTTCTACAAAGTGATTTCCTATAACGCGGTCCGGGTCTACCGTGTTAAAGGGAATTACTGTACTTTTATAAAACAGTCACACAATATAATTTATTATTTACTTTAAAAATAAAAATTAATAAATATCTTTTTATCGTAAAAAATATTTTTTACAAACTTATAGAATTAATATTTACCTGTCCCTGAACACTCATCATTTGGTTCTGCTGCATGATGAGATGCGTCATCGGAGCTTGTTGCTGACTGGACGTCCTGGAAACCAAATCACGATTAGTACAAATGTAACAAGGGAAAAGTTTAATTATTTATTGAATATCTCTTCAAATCTAACTCTTACGTGAAAAAGTTTTATTCTAAATCAAGTAACTCTGACCCATCTTCAATACATAATGTTATGAAAATTTATTATATTTCGCAGTTAATAAAAACAAGGAAAAGAGGAAAACAGGGCAAGAGATGGGAAGACGAGAATAGGAGGCACAACTAGGACAAGAAGAGCTAACATTAGAAATTAGAAAGCAGTTGTAAGAGGCCTATGTGTCACAGGACACGCTGATGACCAATACCGGCACAGCTGTTGTATTACTTAAGTTAATTTATGTAACGAAAACAAATATTTATATATATAATTCTTCTGTGAGTGTGTATGTCACTGAACTTCTCTCAAACGACTGGACTGATTTTGATGAAATTTTTTGTGTGTGTTCAAGGGGATCTGGGAATGGTTTAGATTCACAAATCAGCCCGGCAGATGGCACTGCAGTCGGTACTTTCATACTTTGCTTAATATCCTAATCGCTTTAAATATCATGCAGGACAACGTCAGTGGGGTCCACTAGTGTTTATATATATTTAGTGGATGTCAGCAATAAAGGCGACTGAGTTTACTTGATCGTACAAGTTTTTCGCTATACTTACTTACGTTAAGTAATACACATATTCTATGTTTGTGTTAAATTAAAATATATAAAAAAGTTACTAACCTTTGTTGTTGATGCTGCATAAGTTGCTGCTGTTGCAATCGCGCTTGCTGCATCTGTAGTTGCTGTTGCTGCGACATACTGCTCACGCCACTTACGTTGCCCATACCACCCATGTTTCCCATATTAAAGCCAGCTGCAAAATTAGGATTATTTATAAATTTGAATTCAGGATTATTTTATATTAGAATTAACCACGTCGTTTTTTCCACATTCCACACGTTGTCATTAACCACAAAACAATTTATTTTAAAACCCCTAATAGGATCTAAGAAAAAACAAACGATATTTATTAACAGAACACAAGTTTTTTTTATAATAGTCTTTAAATTGACAACATATTTATATATCAACTGTATTATCAAATTATCGCAGCACGTTAAAACTTTGTTATTTTATATAAAGTTTGTTTACATTCTGTTATTCCTCTGCCGACTGATATTTGTGTATTAAGTAGCAACTGATTATATCGCGAAAAAATTTATTTTACAAATTTTAAATCATTAACTAAAACTAAAAACTTGAGAAATTGACTCACCTTGATGATGATGCGGAAACTGTTGTCTCGCCGACTGCTGCTGTATGAGCACATGCCTCCAATCGGGCGAATAATGCCTTGCGTGTGGGGGAAAGGCGCGTGGGGGCGCAGCCCGCCTTACGCCTGACGTCACGAAACGGGCCTTGTACTCGGGCGGAGGCGGACGCATCTGCTGTTGCTGCGCTCGCAACATTTGTTGCTGCTGCTGCTGCAACATCTTGGCTTGCTGCTCGCGGGATATGCCTGCTGCTGCTATGCCTGTAAATTTAAAAGTAAGAAAATGATTTGGCTCTCATTTCCCACCGTTTCTTTTGTTTTCCCACTGAATTCTCTCAGGCCTACGCATAGAAGACTCTTTGATTCTGACATTTTATTACATTCAGTAATGGTATATTTAAATTGTTATTAGACACTAACATCCCAACAATGTTTCTGTTGATACAAAGAGTTTAATATAGTATTTAAAACAATAACAAACGCTCAATCAAATTATCAGCAAATTATTCACCATGGTAATATATAATTGTGGTTTGATTATATATCTATCCCTCTCATACCGAGTTATAAAATATCCATGTCTCGCTCGCGTAATTGAATTTCGTCTCATATAGGTGACCTCAATACGTAATACAATTTCAATGTACCATAGTTCTACGAAATACTACACATTACGTCAGACGCGCCTATTCTAATCTTAATCAATAAGAAAATAGTTTTACTGGAAAAAATAATCTCGTTCTCGTCGATTTAAAAAAAATAGAAATGTTTTTTACGTTTTAATTAGTCCGTTTTGTATTGTTATCTGTTTGTGTGTCTATTTGTATTTACTACGTGACTTCCTCTACATAATAGGGCATAAAGTAGACTTTTTCCGCTTTCTGTGCTTACCTACTAAAAATTATTGTTGATATTAAGTTTATTTTACTATTTTTTTTGTTTGTTTGGTTTGGTTTATGCACTTCTCGCATTATTTTACTCTTGAAATTTTTTTTTTCCTTACTCGTTGCTTCCTAAATAATTTGTGTTATTTGTTTTTCTTTTAATGTAACGAAGCATAAATAAATAAAATAAATAAATAAATTACTCGGAAATCAAAGTTAGGAAGTATATAAAGGGATATTCCTTGAGCGCAAACCATTATGCTTGAGAATTAAATCGTAATTGAATGAAAATAAAGTAATTAGAGAAATACATATCTAAAGGAATGAAAAACCAATTATATTTTATAAATTAGAATCGACTTACTAGTCTTACCTACGTGAGTAAGTACAAAATTTTATAAAATTGTACATAGGTTACAACATTTTTAGCGATAAGTATTGGAATTTGTATATAAATGTCCAATAAAAACGCTATATAAAAGTGGGCTATAAAAGTATATACGCGATAAGAATAATATACACATTACACACTTTATATATAACAAAACAATCCAACGAATTTGTATTCAAATTAATTACACAGGAGTTTCATTTTTAAGTCACAGGTTTCGTCATAATTACGCAATGGTTAGGTATCCATAACCCAAGAAGGTCCTATCTTTTGAGTCATACTTTAGTTGGTATAACCTACTTCAACTTTTTTATATAAAGATATATTTGATAGTGCTCAAGAAGAGCGTTAAGATACAAATAGGATATAATAAGACTCGCGAGCTACGATTTACATGTGTCACAATGCAAAACGTTTTTGACATATTATATAGAAGTCAGACTCGCCTTAAAATATTTAGTTGATCAGTATGTTTACAAATCGAATTTTATTATAAAACTAAGTATTTATTACTTACGCTTACTTACTTATTTATTATAAAGAGGAAAGACATTTTTGTGGGTTTGTAACGACTAAACGAACTACTGGACCGAATTAAAAACATCTTTCACTAGTAGAAGGCTATATATTTCCAAATATTTAACAAACTCGCCTATAATAGTTGGTAAAATTAAATCAGTGTCGCTACAACCTTTTTAGGTCTGGACCTCAGATTTCTGAATCTATTTCATGATCAATGTAATAGGCTAGTAGGTGATCAGCCTCCTGTATAAGAAAGTCCAATGGTGCACAGCCGGGGATCGAACCTACTACCTCAGGGATGACAGGCGCTCGCTGAAGCCACTGAGCCAACACTGCTCTAACAATAGTTTGTAAGCAAAAAATCCTTACCAAGAGGCGTCTGAGGGCCCGGGGCGGTCTGCGCAGGCGCCGATGGTCGAGCTCGCATGCCCTGCGAGAAGTTCATACTCTGCGTCTGAGACACGTTGTACGTATCACAGTTACTTCCTGAAATTAACAAATTTACACAAATACAATAAACAATTTGTCCAACCAAGTTGTCATAATTTGTGAAAAAATTATTGTTTAGCTGGGCATCAACGCCAGGTGAATTAATAATAATAATAAAACCTTTATTCATGATATAGGTTGTGACAAAATTCATCAATCCCTATAGGAATGCAATCCCGATCCGCGGGACTGATCTCGGGAGATCCGTGTCATTTTTCGGATCAATCCCGAAGCATAACTATGACGAGATCCCGTTCGAGATTGCGGATACTGATTTAGTTGGTGCAGAACATACGTTGCGTTTCGTTATTCGAAAGCTAGAAGACCTAGAAACTACTCTCTCAGAAAAGTTGGTCCCTTCGATAAAAAATCTAAAAAATCCGATTAATTTTCAAGATGATTTGGAGCAATGGGAAGGCAATGGACTTTCCAATTGCCAAGCAAATTCTAAATCGAAGAAATCAAAAAATATAATCACACTATTATAGAGATTAATAGAGAGTAGTAGGAACAAGTAGAAATTAATACATAGTATTAAACGAAGATCACTTGCCACTTTCTATGATTGCAGAGAATTTAAATATGTATAAATTCTACTACTACAAAACTAATACATCACTTCAAGAGGAATTAGAAGAAACTCTCCGAAACGCTAGCTTAGACAAATTAGAGTCAGTAATACAAAAATAAATGGATTTTTTGAGTATGGAGGAACAAGTGGGCGATTTTTTAGTTTATATAATATAATTGCTTATCGCTTGACGCTGTTGCGCAACCAATGTTGAGTTGGAGAAAGCATTCTCAGCAGCTGGGTACATCGCAACGAACATTAGGTGCCGGTTATCAGATAGCACTCTTGATACACTTTTTTTAAACAAGTTACTTTCAAAATGTACTACTTTTTAATATCCTTAAATAATATCTTCTTTTGTTTTGATTATGTTAAGTTCGTAAAACTGTTAATTATTAAGTTAGTACTAAAGGCCTTTGTTTTCTTTCAAATAATATTTTGTTTTAATTAACCTCATTATGACAAACAAGCAGTTTTCATCATATTCAATCATGTGTAATTCCCACATTCACTTTTTAAACATGACGAGATCTCGAAAATCTCGGGATCCCGCTGGATTGATATTTCTAATCCGCGCGGATCTCGAATTTACGATCTGAGTCGGGATTGCATCCCCAACCCCAGCCCCCCCCCCCGAGGGCCTCTTTTTTTTTGCAAATAACTAGATAACAATTATTCCGTGGTACATGGTTCAATTGCATGTAAAACTTACTTTAAAGCCGGATTAAACCAGCTTTATTAATCTATATTTTAAATAAAGTCGCGTGTATCAATTTGTTAATAATTACGAAGTTCCGAATAACTTTGTACTGATAAATTTAAAATTCGCTCTGATAAGGTACTTCAAGGCTAAATATAAAATACTAATTTAAATCAATTCAAACAACGCATTGGACTTAAATTTAATCTCTTAATTATAAACCTTAATTGGTTACGCACTTTTAAATAAACATTAAAAAAATTAATTAGTATATTTATGACGCTTACTCATAAAAATCAAGTCAACAGAGATGGCCACTATTCAAAAATATTATTTAACTAAAAAAAATTACATGCAGATGATGCTCCCGGTTTTTTTAATACAAGATTTCAACAACGGAATTAGCAAATTTCAGGCAAAGGAAACACTATTTATTACTGAAAATACCTTTTCCATGCCTTAGCTACAGAATAGTCAGCAGTAAAGTTAATCGGTTTAGTATTAAGTTAATATTACAAAAGCACAAATCTTTCCTCTTTATATATTTATTTATTGAAGTTTACCACAATTCACATATATTTACAGTATATGATACAAGGAATATTTTCTAAAATACATACCTATATGACAATTTTGGAAAAAAAACATGTTACAAAAAATAAAATAAAAATACATACTAGTAATTTTTGCAAAAAAAAATATCCAGCAAAACAGCTGATTAGGATAGGCACATAACAATGCTTTTTTTAAAATTGATCAGCCCACTACCGAATATATCCAGCTCTGGAGAACTATTTAATACGTTATAATCGTGAAGACAACAAACTTCCAAGCGAAATTAGAGAATTAACACTAAATAAATTCAAAGCTCTCGTTAAACGTAAATTAATCAATAAAGCTTTTTTATAAATTTCACGAACTTCTAGGTTGGTTTTTGCATGTATTTATAAAAACTAAAGAATCTCTCTCTGTCAAGTTGTTTTTACGCCGTTATGAAATGAGACAGGTACAGCAAATTAAACCAAAATTATTTATGAAGGGGCTAGATTTTGTCCCCTAGACATAGAAATTACTAGGATTTTTATTTTATTTTTAAATTTTTTGTAACATTTATGTTTACCAAAATTGTCATATATTTTAGAAAAGATACCTTGTAACATATACTGTTGATATATCATAATGTATGATATGGTGAACTTTAAATAAATAAAGAGAACAAATCGACAATATCAAAAGACAATTATAAATTTACATCTAATGAATCACTACGATCTCAATGTGTTTACAACAGTTTTATCTTTGATGACAAGGCCTACTGGTAGCTGGTAGCCATTGTGATTACGTGATTAAATCATTATAATTATACCAATAGACGAGGACAGACTAGTTTAGACTTCGCTGATCTATCCGCCATACTGATATTAGATAAACAATTTGTTGTTTTATCAATTCATTAGTAAGCTGATCATTTTAATATTTAGGAAATCAAATTTCTAACAGGGATAAAACGTCATGATCGTAGAATAATGTCGGATTTGAAAAAAATCCAAAATCCAATTTTTATCATATTCGGTGTGTAGTATACATTGACTAAATATTACGGCTACATTAAAAAAAACTCAATGTGTTTTAAATTTCAAATTAATCAGTCGGTAAAGTGATGGGATTTGATAGACGCTCATAGAAGCATGTGATTTTTCTAGAAAACTGTGTAATTTAATGTTATTATTTTTATTTTGTTTCAAAACAAACCCTTTTGTTTGCTTGGGCAATTTTCATAATAACAGAATATGACAAAAAACTAACATGATTATATTATTTTGAAATGGCTGCCCTGTAAAGTTTACTATTTGTCAGATCCGTCACTATTCTAAGACTGACGAAAATAACAATAGTGCAATAATGTATGAGATAGGCAATGTATAATATTAATATAGCGTGATGGTAAATAATAAAGATTTATTTATTTACAGAAATACAGTACGAAAAAAAAAAGTATATAGTATAAAATACATAATATAATACACAATATCGCTACTGTGAACTCACTCTGCGAACACATAAATATGTCGATAGTGTCGAAAACAGCATTCAGTAAGCGCAAAAATTGATTAATATTATACATATATAGTAATTTATAACGTATATATACGTCACAATATACAATGTTATAATTGATAACAGCTATTTATCATCTATGATACGACTTCCTTACATACGTTCCGTGTTCCGAGTACATAACACGAGTTACACTTCCTTACATTTGTTACCATATAAGTAAAAACAACTTTTAAACTAAATCGTGGTCAAGCAACATTTTAATTCAATGAATGATGTTAGGTTCGATTTAACAAAAGTTAAAATTGCAAATTCGGAGCCTATCAAATATATCTTAGTCAAGGAGTTAGTCCAATAAGGTACTTAACAATTAAAATATAACATTGAATTCGGGGTCGCTATTGACAGTTACAGGGCACTATTACTTGTGGTGAGTGGTCGGACTTGAATTCGTGTATGCGGTGATGTTAGTTATTTCGACTATGTATTTGCGTGTTGTTCCCACGAGAATGTAAGTGCGTGCTCCTATTACACCATGCCTACTGCTGATAGAGGACAAATATTTGTTTTTTTATTTTATTATTAATTACTTTAAGAGATGTCATGTGGAACATGGCGTAGTGGTTGCAGCTCCTAACAAACGTTGTGTAAAACAAAAAAATTGGCGATTAAAAAGAGTTTAATGCCAGTTCTTCTCGTCCGTTCTACGGCCTTGATTTGAGAACTGGCAGTTAATGTAAAATTAGAAGCATTTAGCATTTAATATGTATTTCTTTATTGACGTTCATAAGTGTGCATTGTGTTACCTAAATTTAGACCTACCTTTAAAATTTAGGGTTTCAAAAGATAGATAGTAGCAGATTCTCATACTTACTGAATATGCATAAAAAATTTCATAAGAATCGGTCGAGCCGTTTCGGAGGAGTATGGGAACGAACATTGTGACACGAGAATTGTATGTATTAGATATAGTTTATATATGAATAAATAGGTGATACACATGGTGTATGATAGTAAATACATTCCAACATGCCCTTGAGATAAAATAATTTAAAAATAGTATTTTCTTACACACAATCAAAAGTCCGTTTGCCGATTCCGACAAAGCCTTCTTCCAGACCCTTCCATTCTGCCTTCACTCGTCCCACTCTGGACCAAACCTTACCCGAATCAGTTTTATTTTATCTTCCCATCTCTTGTACTGTCCACCTTTTTCCGTTTTCTCCTTACCAACTCCTAGTTACTCTTTTCTCAGGAAGGAGTGTCCACCTAAACTTGTCCTTTCGAATACTATTTGTCTATGTCCTCTATCCTAATCCTGTTGCTACTGTAAATTATTCTAACCCCAACTCTGTTGTTTATATTTAGTAAACATCTCTCCATTGCTCTTTGACGATTCCCCCTTCAGATACAAAAAATAAGACAAACTAGTGGCGCTCCAACCCCTGGTTTTCTTGACTTTTTTAAGTAGGTGATAAACCTGTGTTGCAGATTCGACACGGCTTACAAGATGGCTGCAACGCATTGCGCGCATATACTGGCGAGATTCACATCCTTAAACTAGCAATACCAAGTAATTTCATCAACCAATCAGTTGGTATACCACACAGTAAATCACTAAGCTAAGCTACTGTGGTTTAAAAGAATCTATGAATATAATCATACAACATATCATCCCCGAAGTGTTAACCGTGGCGCATTCCCGCAGATCGTCAACCCCAGATGTCCCCCCTCACATCTATTAATCGATGGCAACATACCCCTTATTACAATGGAATAAGATCCAATTCTCTCATATGTTAATAACCTTACATTGTACTGTGTTATGAAAAATAAACGAATAATACTACTTACAATGCTTTAATGTAGCTTTATAGATAACTTTGCGATTGACTCCCGGAAAAATAAGGTAGACATTTTCAGTAAATCTCTTGCTGACTGCTAAGCGCATTCTATATTATAAATGTAATAAATTTACATTTAAATTCGTTAATTTTTAATACGTAATTAGGGGAAAACGAAATGCTGTTAATCAGTGTGACGCAATAATTCCCATTTAGTGAACATAAAGTAATTAATCACTATGTACAATGATGCGAAGTTATTAAATGTTACGAAACATAATTAAAAACGGCCTTATTATGAATGCCCGATCTTTGAAACGCAAATTGCACAAAATTTTATAAAAATTTCAACGGTTGAAACATTCTACGCGATGTTATTGTTATGAGAACAGGGCCTAGTAAATATGGCTTCTTGCTGACCTTGTGAAAAAACTTTTTAAAAAAGGGTAAAACATTGTGCAAAAAGTATTTAAACAAAAGAGACTCGTTCGAGGGTTTCTTGAAGTTTTCAAACGTTCTTTTCCTTAACAAAAACTGAATTGTTCATGAATCATGCGGATGACATTGAACTGTACCTACCGAAATTATTTTAGTCGCGATAAGAAGATTTAAAGTCGCGTCTAAGACTAAGATTTAAGGACGTATGGTAGACGGTCCAAGTCCGGACTAACCCGGGTTGCGGCTTAGTTGCCTATTGCCTATTTAATGTTTTAACATATATGTATTATTATTTTAATTACATGATTGTCCGATTCGCGGCTTAGTCTAGCTCAAGTCGCCGATTTTCTTCACTTGGCGTAAACTATGCCCAAGTGCGTACTTGCGTGCTTGACATCGTGCGTATCTGAAGGAATTAGTGATGGATTTTGGCATAGTTCGTGCTAAATCTTGATACTGAATGTCGCCCTTAGACTTCAGCATAAACTTTTTGATAAGTTATCAATTTGGACGAACAAACGCGATCACGACAAATAAATTTTCGATTTATTTTTGTTCTACACAATTTTTTGTACATTTTGTTATTTAATAATTAAAAAAACTATGGGATTGTAGAACATACATAAATTTAATATAACATAGCTCCATAATAGTGCCTTTCAGATTTCGAGATAAATTGTAACGACCTTTCTAAGTTTTGACATTCGTTGCTCTGTGTAAAAACTGTACCATGAATAATAAGTTAAGTTTATCTTAGTCTTAGTAAGTCTAATCTTAGTCAGTTTGGTTTATCAAAGTAGACACAAAAAAATCAGTTACTCAATCAATCAATTTTCGCATTCATATTTTTTTGGTGCACATCTTCGTGGTTAAGACTCTAAAAACATTTAAATCTAAGATATCTTGTCCAAAAGAAATTCTTAAACATTGCATTGATCAACTATTTCTACCTACAAACAATTTTTTCCACCAGGAATCACTCCAAGAACGTATTTAAGCCATAAGAAAACGCTTGACGTTCTTAAACCATAGAACATACAGCCGCAGAGCATAAGTTCAGTTAAAATGACGACTTGTGTATATTCTGTGCAATTTGATATTGATTACGAAGTCGTCAGCCTTTTTATCGACACGCTACACTTAGCAACACTTAGTTTGTACATAACAAGTGGTATTCAAAGATAAAGAAGTACTCTTTTGAGACCTTGTTTAATATAATCAATAACTATTCTCATTACGTCACATAATAGTACATAAAAGAACTATAAAATAATTTAATTAAATAATACATAAACACGAAAACTTGCCTTAGTTGATCGGTTTGAACACTCATTTTAATTCCAGTCGACAATGCAACTGGCGAAAACCTTTTTACACTAGTCTTAGATCGTTTAGATATAAATTTTTATGTATCCATAATTACTGCATAAGTCCCGCGGATGTATTAACGAAAACTCTAGAGCTACGGATTTTTTACGCTTTTCACCAATTTCGTATAAATTGACTAAAATCTTACCAAAATACCTACCAAAATAATCGTTAATTAACTTCTATTTTTTTACTTTTGACCCTGCAATGGGCATTTTTAAAAGCCGCCACTTTTGATAGCATTTTGCTACATGCTAATATTATTATACGTTAATTTTCGGTCAAGCCCATAAATCAAGCTTACCTTGATGATGCTGAGGTGATGGGTTCTGGTTGTGGAAAGTGGCGTACAGTCCCTGCTGAGCAGCCGCTGAAACGTGACCACTCCCACCACTGACTTGCATATGTTGAGCTGCGGATACCTGGATTGATAGGTCAGGGTTAAATTTGTGTTTTTTGCGTACTATATAGGATAATTTGTTGAGTTGTATGTCATATTTATTATGTAATTCAAATATTTAAAAAAAAACGTGCGTGTTTAAAAAATATATTTTTTAGAGAGATTTGGAGAAGTCTGCCCAAGAGGAAGACACAAATAACGAATCGAAATAGTAAATGTCTTCAATTTAAAATAAAAATATTTAAAATATATAGTGTTGAGTTAATATAATCGTTCTAATTCAAATACGAATCTTTTAGCAATATGCATTTTAGTGAGACTCCAATATTTCTCTATTTAGTTAATGACTGCAAATAATAATAATCCATTGGCGCTACAACCCTATATAATCCGAGATGGCATCCGTTTCTTTCATCATTATTTCAAACACACGTATCTACGTGATCATCTGATCAGCCTGTTTCCAAGACATTTATACCTTCTATACAAATAGGAAGAAATATCAATCTACGTGACTTAAATGCAAGACCTCAGGGTCGAGTGTAGCATGCTAAAGCCACTGGGTCAACACTGCCCTTCATAAAAACAATAAGAATGAAATAATATTCATCACAATGGATACAGTACTGGAGGAAAATGGAGGAGGTCTACGTCCAGAAATGGACCAAATAAAGAGGCTGATGATGATGAATATATAACAAACTACGTAAGTTGATATAGGTAGAACCTTTTATATTTTCTTAGTACAAAAATAATGAGCTATATAATTTTCTATATACATTCTCACATTTAAACGACTTTTTAAATAAACAACTATGCAAACACTTATTTTTAAACACAAAACCTGTTCCAACGGATATCTTTATGGGTAATTGGGATATCTAGCGCTTTTGCCGACCAGAGACGTTATTACAATCTTGTAGTCGTACTCAGAGTCGTCCATTAAGAGCTAAGTTGTTACGTATTTAATAAGTTCTGCGCTAGTAATCTGTAACTGACGTTTTTGATTCCGAATAGTCCTCTCAATATCCGTAGCGCCGATGCAACCTTGAAATCGTGCGGTACAAAAACTCAATATAAGTCGGGAACGCCATTCTGAGTTCCGGCGCTGATCCAATTGGAGCTAATAGTTTCTAAACAAAATCTACTAATCGGGTATTCAATTTACCAAAGTTTCAGCGAGTTTTTTTTAGATTTATACAATTCAATTTTGCAGATAATTTAATACAATTCTTATATAACATATATAACAAGTTAAGGTATTAATTATTATTAATACACTAGTTGTACCCTGCCACGCTTCGCTGTGGCATATTGTGATTGAGTGGTTGAGAAATGAGAAACAAAACAAATAATACATTTAAGTTTATTTTGCAATACTTGTGGAAAAAAATTAAAAAAAAAACAAAAAAAAATTATAAAAAAATTGATAAAAACAATCCTTGATGCGGATTATATTTCAGCTCGATCGGTGCAGAACTTTTTGAGTTTTTGAAGCGTACACAAAACAACATAATTTTTATATACTATATAGATATTAAATTCCTAATGTTTATTTCTGAGTGTCCGTGTACTGGAGACATATAAAATATAGTCAGGTTAAGATTCAGTCGCGGTTTAGCGCTAAGTACGACTCCCGTATTTCGTAACTAAACATAGAATTTAAATAGACTAGATGGTCTTTGGCTTGAGTACTAAAGGGACTTAATAATTTATCAAACTTATTAATGATATGAATCAATTTATAATGATCATCTTTCGATGTTAACTAGCTGTTGCCAGCACCTCGTCTTATAAGTAATTACTATCAACAACTATGAACTTAAATTTCGGCTAAGAGCATCTCAATGACAGCTGCCAGTATGAAGCAGTCAACACATACACCGACGCCACCGGACGCCGCGAACCGGTTCTGCCGCCCGCACGTCCCTCGCCAATATACGCGTAATACTTTAGCCATCACTGATGCCAACTCAGCGCTTTCACCGCCAGATTTAGCGGGTTTTTTTGTACACAAAAATCGAGCGCCCAATCCTTATATGGATTTCACTAGCTAAAAAAACATTTTTGTTTTACTTCTTTTGGCGCGTTAGGGAAAAATGATGAGAGTAAATTTTTACGATGCGAGCACACCGTCACAAAAAACCGACCCCCTGAAGTTAGCTATAGTCAACATTTTAGATTTATATCTTGTTACGCCAAAGAAGTATAACTTCTAACGGACGTACACACACGTTTTTTAGCGCTTTAAACAGCTTTTTGGTTTTAGTCAATTTGTGCATTACATTCCTAACTCACGTCGAAATATTAAAACAAAAATGAAAATTGCAATCACGTCAAATCAAGCGCTTTTCGGATTTAATAAGCGCTATTCCGTAAACTGGAGTGGTGCACTGCGCGTAATAGTTTAGCCGTATTGTACAGACAAGCTAACGGAACCGCTTATCTAGTCGCAAATCGCGCCTGCCATAAGCACTGTATTGGGAACCCCCTTACATCTCTGTATTAAGGTCCAGTTTGCACAGGCCACACCACTCATGGTAAGTCCGAAGCTTTCCGCGCGATTGCAATCACGAATTCAGCCGGGGTAATGCTCTATCCGTTATCCCATATGTTGTAATAACAGTGCAATATATTTTGTTATCAAAATTGCATTTTTTGAGCAGCCAAAATTTTTCGTAAAAAAATAATTTTAAACTGGACTAGTTTACGCCATGGCAGCTTGTATCAATTGCTAACTGCTATCAATCGTTTAAAATATAGATAGATAACATTAATTAATTGTGAACATGCCAACCGCGTTTGTGTATCTCTTGGTTTTGACGTCAGAGGAGCTAGCGGTACACGTTGGCGTACAAGGACCGACGTCACGAACGCCCATACAGGTCAAAGGTTAATCTATTAATAACACAAACAAGTACGAACTGCCTACACCTGGTAGGGGGTGAAAAATCCGATCTTGCCCATACAAATGTGTCTGCTCCAAATTAATATTTTTAAATTGCTTAAAAATTACTCTTAAAAACGCCGTTTTTATTAGCAGCCGGAGTCGGATACTTCGCAAATCTGGTAATATATTCATATTTTGGAAGAAATAAATATTTTGACAGAATTTTTGAAATCGCTTCAGTAGTTTGAAGTTTATTTGTTATAATACAAACATAAATATTTGTTAGTAGCAATACACACACACATACTCTTATAGAATTCCACTCCACATTAGTTCCTCTTTTAATTAAAGTTCAAGACAGCGGGGAGGGACACGTGCAGGCAGGAAGTAATGGCACCGCGACTTTTTCCATTCGAATAATACGATGTCATCGGCCGTTGCCTCTTATCGTACATTGTTACACTTTAGAAAGTCGAGGACCGGTTCCATAATTTACCGGGAACTAAGATCTAACGTCTCCAATCTAACTGTTAATACTTCAATTGTTCAAAACAAAGTATCAAATACCCGTCCTTAATGTAACGCTTGTATGTAACCTAAAATCTTTTCAAAGGATTCTAATCCTTGAAGGAGCGATGCTTAATGCTTATGCTTATGACCTTAGGTAAGTTTTTACTAACTTTAAATAGAGTTTGAACAAAACATGTGGTCGGACACATCTGGTCGCGAATCTTGTTTTGTAAACAGAGCGATATACTTGTAAAACTTTCTTGCTTATTAAAAATATTGCGCAGTCGACCGTTCAGAAGCTACTGGAAAATAACCGGCAGGTTGAAACAGCGATTGATGCATGCATTATTAGCTCATTGCAGTACTCTAAATCCAAAGACCATAATATTAATGTGTAGTGGGCGTGGGTGAGCTAGAAGAAGACGACGCGGTTAGACGTGTCTCTCGCGGCGCGGTAACCCTTCTCTCCTTCAGTCTGCGAACGGGCTAGCAGCGCGCGCACGCTACGCCCGGTCGATAATACCCCAGACTCCTATGTTTTTTATGTCCTTTCACGTCATGAATTACAAAATAAAAAAGTAACAACAAATGCATTGGATTTTTTAATTAATTTATTCACACGTTTAATTATAAACTTCGTCGATTTACGTTTGTCTAACGGCTTGCATTCGTCAAGTTTAAAGTTTTGGCGCGAACGAAATGAATAAGTAAATATTTATAGCGCTTCAGTACGCATGAGCAAATTAATTTAAAGTACTCACCTGCAGATTATGATGAGGTTGCGACAGATGTAACTGCTGTTGTTGGGACATGTGCAAGTGGTCCATCGAAGGTTGCGTAGGTCTCGGTCCAGGGCGATAGTTGCCGTAGCCCCGGTACCGCGCCCAATCACCACCGGTCGCTTGCTGATGCTGTTCCGCCATATGCTTGAGCGTCTGAGCCGCCGGCGACATCTCCCCAGCCCCATACGGCCTCGGTGCCGGCTCCCCTTCCGACGGTTCCAGATTACCAATATTACCCCCATTCAACTTCCCCGCATCCAGATCAAAATCTTTCATGAATTCAGGGTATTCCGATATTTCGGTAATGAGATCTTCGAATGTATCATCGCCGTCGTCTTCGCCTATCAGCTCCGCCAATCCAGGGAAAGAGGAGGCTGCATCCCGCTCCAGAGCAGCAGCACACTCGTCGAGCCCAACAAATTCATCGTCAGCTACCTCTGATTTACATTCTGCTTTGCATTCCCTTTCGCAGTCTAGTGGGGTTGGTATTCGAGGAGGTTGCTGCGGTGGCGGTGATCCGGACGTTTTCACCGCATTTGCTAGAGCTTTTACGGTTACATTCGTGGATATCTGCTGCGGTTGCGAGTCCGCCGCAGACGTCGTGAACTCCAGCTGCTGGACAATCTCTACGGAGAATTTCGTAAGAGCCTCTCCAGCTCCATTTACGCCAGCATTTCCTCCACACTGTAGTTTCGCTGGTGGTTCATAATCGCCACAGCCAAATTTTTGTTGCTGCAAAAAAAAGCAATTATTAAAAAGTAAGTAAAATATTTAAATATAATTAGGTACTCTATCAAGTAATTTACAAAGACAAATACATTCTACAATGAAAATATATGTTAGTTAACGTTTTAGTTCTTGTCTGGGGCTTCGCTTCTAATTCCATGTATATAGATCAAAATATCATACTTTATATGTATAGATATGTAAAGTAAACATTCAAAGTATTACAGGATCACATGCTCAACCAAACGCGTAGTAAACAATTTAGTTCACATAACGCGTCCATTCGCCCAGCACTAGCCTCAACAACAGCTATTTAAAGACATTGATTCAACTTTTGCACCGCAATGAGTGTAATAAACAAAACAATTACCTTGGATATTTATTTACATTTATAGGGAAAAACTAGTATGAGATGTTCGTTCAAGGATTCGATGGAAATCCATGAATAAATGGAATACTTGATACTAAAGTATTAATTTATATCAAAGGACCAGTACTTCTCAAGTTAATAAGAGACCTGTATTTGTTTAAAATAATTAAAAATCACTGAAATGAATTCGGTTGAAGGGTGATTGTATCTTCAAACTTCATTAGAAAGTATATTATATCTTGTAACTTAATTTCTATAAGTAGGTATTTTAGAGCCTTAGAAGGAAAGAATTATATAAATTATAAACTACTTCTCATTTATAGCATTCTTTATAAGATAAATGTAAAGACACAATTTTGATAATATATTTTTATTTAAATGTACACAAAAATTATAAGTTAGTATGGAGTGTGAAAAACAGAATATTTTTAAATAATTAAGTCTAGATTTGAATAATTGGTAAAGCAAGGTGAACAACATCGTCCAATGAAAAGGAACTAAAACTTAAATCGGCATCTAAGATGGGTTCAAAATCCAGGGAATAATTATGACAAAATTTCTATTAAAAAAATATTATTTAATTTTATGCATTGCGGAAGAAATCTTGGATTTATTTATTTTTTGTTTTATAATTTAAAATATATAATTATTTATATAATTTTTTTTATTTGTGTACGCAATAACACCAAGTTAGTAATTTAAAAGGTCTACAGTCAGCAGGTCAGGTCAAAATCAGACGAAATAAAGGAAATAAAAATCTTACTAAAACGGGTGCAGTTATTTTTTAACGGAAATAATTTAAGAGATTTGAAATAATTTGTCTTATTTTAATGCAAATTCCAATACTTCCAAATGAAAATGTTAGCCTTGATATCTAATAGAGTTTCCAAGCTCTCGGGCTAATAGTGAGCGGCGCAAAATAGGTCCGAGACAATGCGAGGCAGCGCTTACGAAATTGCGCAGTTTGCACAACAACTGCTCAGCCCTATTGAGTTTAATAAATACAATACTTTCACAATTTACATGAATAGTTAATACGAAACTCCAACTCAACCAATGAAATTTTCTATTTGACATCTAATCAATAAGCGACATTAATTGATACACTTTTGTCTTATATCTGTTAATTTACAATGAAATCCTATTTAAAAGTATTCAAATATGTTCTAGGAATTCACTTAGTACAAGCTCAGTACGTTTGACTTTAACAGTTATACTTAAATATAATTTATATAATAATATCCCATTTTCGATTAAACTAAAAGCCGATTGGTATTTTCCATATTTTTGTACGGTCCTGGTCAATTCGTGCAGCGGACCGAGAAAAGACAGAGGCATTCGAGATTTGGTGTTGCGAATACCATGGACTGCAAAAAGAACTAACAAGTCTCTTCTCAACCAACTAAAGATCACCACAAGACCGTCTTAGCTACTTTGGCCAAAATTGCCTGGAGAGAACCGAATAGTCTCGACAAGCTGGTGATGGTAGAGAGGAGTGATGGCAGGAGAAGTCGGGGTCCATCGCGTACCGGTTAATCTGACCAGGTAAAGACAATTATGGGTCTCGACATCCCTAATGCACTAAGACAGGCTGATGATAGAGTAGAGATAGAGAATAGAGCAGCAGAAGCAGGTCGACGTATCTGTTAGGGCTTTTCAAGACAAGCACGACCTTCAGTAAAGAAGACTGCTAAGAAGAAATGCCGATTCATCGCAGTGTGACATTTTAACTCAAATAAATATGTTAACATACAATACTGATTAACCATAATGAGGGGTTCCTTTTAAAACGCCTATTATTATTAGAGTTTTTCATTCAAATTTATCTCATAAGAGAAATTAAAACAGTTACAATCAAGTTGTCTGTTTAAATATAACACATCGTATTTATTGTAATAGAACCGGACGTAATGTAAAATTCGCCATAGATAATATTAAAACAGGTTGATGAAGAATTCAAGTGTGCGTCATCTCAGCCTAGGACCGATATGTCAGCACAAAGTCGAGGAATCCATGACACATGAACAGGATATTCAACTCTTGGTCAAGATTACAACAATGAATGTTTTGTATTTTACCACGCTACAATGTATATTAAAGACATTACATATAAAATCTTCTTTTTAAGCTATGCCCGCGTGCGACAGGGTTGTATGTTTAAGTATGTAACATTTTAAAATTGATACTTTAGACTCTCGACGAAAACAATACGATTTGTTGCTACTACATGACATCATCTCAAATTAAATTAATTGCAGCTCACTTCTAGAAAAACTGTCCTTTCATATTCCTGACTACAATACTCGTAGTCGTGCTATGTTGCATGTTAACTCGTTTAAGCTATCGAGGAATCTTTATCTTATTAAGGAGTATTAAGAATATCCATAGCGCAAAATCATTTGCATCATGAGCACACCCCACATACACACCCTCACTTTCACACCATCACACAACACAGTCAAATTAGTTAAATGTATTGAATATTTTTATTGTTTTCTTTTTGGAAATGTTTGAACCTTTTTGTAAATATTATGAATTCTATATCTTTAGTATAATTGTTTATTATTTATTATTACATATAATTTATGTTATCAGTAGGATTACGAAATAATTAAGTATGTCATAAAAGCACCAATTAGGTGAATGTGGGCAGTGATGGCTAGTAACACAATACTTTTCTCCCTTTCTTTTTTCTCCTTCTCCTTCCCAACCACGCCTTTTAAAATGTGGTGACAATTTACAACTAAACTCGCATTAACAAGTTTATTGTTTATATGTACTACTAAACCAATACTTGGTTAACCCTAGGTGATGTTAAACCAAACTGTATTGTCCTGGTATTTATATATAGAGTGCAAAAAGAACCAATAAGTCCATTCTCAACCAACTAAAGATCACCACTGTCGACTCCAGCATTTACAAACGTGTGCTAAGCTACTTTGGCCATATTGCCAGGAGAGAACCGAATAGTCTTGACAAGCTAGTGATGGTAGAGGAGTGATGGCAGAAGAAGTCAGGGTCGATCGCCTACCCGTTGGTTTGACCAGGTAAAGACAATTATGGGTCTCAACATCCCTAATGCCACACAAACTGAGGATAGAGTGTTCTGGAGTCAGCAAGTCGATGTATCGTAGGGCTTTTCAAGACAGGCACGACTTTCAGTCATGAAAACAGAGAAGAAGAAGAGATAGAGTACGATTACTAGTACTAGATAGTGATGTGTGGAATAAACTGTGTTAGAAGTTCAAGACAGGTGAAAAATAATAATTACAACACGTGTTTGAAGGGACAATTGAAATCGCGTCCGGATGTAACCCAGCGTCAATTGACTTGCCCTCTGGCATCGCATGCGCATCCCGTGAATGTACGAACATTACATAATTACATTTAGGTATATTAAAACAACAGGTTAATTATCTAGACATAATATTGTTCATGGAAGTTACTCATCTACTGTGCGTCTGTAAGTAAACTCCTCCTAAACGGTTTTGTTGATTTTTTTGGACACAGGAACACCTGATGTTAAGTTCTACCGCCGCCCATAGACACTCTCTATGCCAGAGGAGAGGACTCGCGAGTCTAAATTAATGTCTGGCAAATTCATTTTTAGTTTTTCTTATATTTAAATAACATAATATTAAAATTACAGACATTCTAAAAGGGTACTTTGAATTTTTATTGAAAAAACTTAAATCGTGGCACATAGTTAGAATGTGAAAATGTCTGGCAATAAAAAGTATGTCAGGTAGACTTATTTAAAAAGGAAAAATTAAAAATTACGCTTCTTAAAATGCTTTTAAAATCCAGGATTATTACCTGGCAGAAGGATGCGCACCACAAAGGACACAACCGCTAGCGCCAGCCAGATTGCCCAGACTCTAGCCGAAAGTCAAGAAGGAAGACATAATATCACAAAATCAGCTGACCTAAAATTCTTTCTTTTCAAACGTTGCTACCTCCCGTACTAAAAGCTAATCAAGCATTAATAATCAGTGGAATCTACTTTACGTCTTCCATCAAGTAATTCAAATTATTGACATTTCTGTCCATTTTCCATACAATTTGTATAACTTAGACAAATTCTATTGAAACAATACATCCACTGCATTTGTTAAATTTTACATAGAAAAATCTATCATTGATTATTACAATTTACGCATTCTTCGTGTACAGATAAAAATACATATAATTTGAAATCTACTTTACTAACAGATAAAGATATTTTATATTTGTTTGTAATTGATAAAATCGGAAACAACTGAGCCGGTTTTTACCGGTTACACAAGGTTATTCAAGACTCGTCACAAGAACAACTCGAAACACTACAAAAACCTTTATCACGATCCCGTGTATACACCCCCTAAACGTACGTCTCAAATATCTAAAAGCACGAGTTTAACACTTTCTAATCACAACTAACTATTTACCAATTATTTTTAATTAAGGATTATAGCACGTTACTGAACTTGTGTTTGTGTTATATTGAAATTAATTCAGCCATGTAAAAAACAGTGACGCTACAACCTCAGATTTCGGTTTCTGTTTCATGATTTGTCAATCTAATAGGCAAGTAGGTAATCATCCTCATGTGCCTGACACACGCCGTCAACTTTTTGGGTCTAAGGCAAGCCGGTCTCCCACGATGTTTTCCTTCAACGTTCCAGCGAATGTTAAATGCGCAAATAGAAAATCCGTTGGTGCACAGCCGGGATCGAACCTACAACCACAGGGATGAAAGTCACACGCTAAAGCCACTAGGCCAACAATGCTCGCAAGATTCAATACTAAATAGCTCGCAATCAAAAATTTTATATAAATTGTTAATGTCATTGCCAAATAGCGCCATCTTTTGACAATTTGGCAGTGAACAGCGTCTGAGGCCACAGATTTCTGAGGCCACGTTGAGAAAAATTCACATAATTATAAATTTTAATTTATATGAATTGATTAAATATTTACATGTGATTTAACGTTTATACTTAATAAACAATTTAAACACATTTTAATGAGACACATTTACCTATCTGTCAGTGTATCAGTCACAAGGCAATTATCAGCCATTAAGGAACACTTGTTTCGCCGGGAATCGACCTTCGGAGCTAAGCTCTAAGGAGCGGTGAGTTACATAACTTACAGAATGACATATAGTATGTAAATCGCCCCAAATGGTACCTCAAATGTAAAACTTTGCATTATGTAATGTTAACGCAACTAGAGTTTTATTGAAAACAGAGCGACGCAATATTACTTCATACGATTACCAACAATACGATATTGCCTAGTGAATTCTTGTCTCGAAATAATTGCGCGTGCTTTATCACTGTTCAATGATGTCGTAAATAAACACGATTAAAACATTAAAAAGGTCCGACAGGTATATGGGGCTAGTTTTTCTGATATTTCTTGCGTATTTAGAAATAGGTTCAGGTACTAGATAAAGGTATACTGTCATTGTACATTGAAATTCCAAATTTAAAAATACGAGTTTCTTCGTACGCTATCAAAGTGGTATGCTGCATTTTGCGTATTTGAAAATAGAACTCGCAATCTTCGAAGGTTATACAATTAACACCTATTCATAATTTAAAAATCAAAAGCTTTGTCCATACAACGAAAAATTTTAAAAATAGAATTTATCAGTGTCTTCATTCCACCCCATAGACAGAGTGACTTCATATTATACCGTATTTTTCTAAATAGTACACGTAAACTTATAATTGTTTTAATTCAAAGAACATAGGTATAAAAAACACAATGTCGCTTCACTAGCCGTCATGGAAAACTAGAAACTATAATTATATACATATCTAATTACTTTACACACGTAAATAACGTGATAATGGGAGAACGCAAAACTTGTTTTAAGACGATTGTTACTTTGCAATACGAGATTTCAAAGTCAAACCAAAATCAGTCTTTAGCTACAGGATAGAGGCCTTGAAATTGTATTTATTTTGACTATACCCATATATTGAAATGAATTTTGCAAGTTAATATAATATACCTTGAATACTAAACAAAAATATTGAGGAACTAAACTAAAATGAAAAATAATAAATAAGGTAGCTCACACAGCTCACATGCACGCTGCTATGTAGGTTGCTGCTTATAGAAGGCAGGTCTGGTTTTCGGTCTGTCTTCTTCGCTTGCCGTTTGGCCTTGCCCTCAAGAAACCTCTTCTGGAGTGCACTCGTCTCCAAGTTTTGCTGTTCACATGCGCCGGTGAACGATTGATCGAACCTTGGCACACATTCCGACTGACGGCGTCTGTATGTCTCTATCCTCCTCCTGTTGACAAGGAACAAATTGTTTAAAACACTAATTGTAAATCTGCTTTCGATTTTATGGTAGTTTCAATGACAGTATGAGAAGTAGAACAAAATGCCGAAATAGAAGAGTTGGTAGCCCAGTCCAACATTTTAGGCGAATACAAGGCCAATCGACTACATTGGCTGGGGCACCATGAGGGCATGGGCCAAGATCGGGCAAGAATGAGGTTTATCTGAGCCGACCTAGTGGTCGGAGACCAGTGGAGGTCTGGAGGATCTGCTGCAGCTGAAAACCAGCAATTGGCAGGACAGGGAGCGCTAAAATATTCTTTTTTTGGAGGGACCACGAGTGAGTGATGCGAAGTAGCCGCGCGGAGTAGTTAAATAGGTGTAAAGGGGCAATATATTTATTTCCACTTACCAAATATGAATTTAAATTTTCAAACTTGATTGTATAAAAAACTTTACAGGTCTATCAGGCAACAACTAATCTACCTTCACTCTTTGGAGCAACAACGGAGCTCTGTCACTTGTCAGTCAAACGTTAGATTTTTGTTACGTTATCGTCGTAACTCGAAAACATCGATTTGGCATGATGGCATAATTGAATATCCAGGTTGAATTAAATGTACTCTATTAACTAATTGGAACTTAATTAAATGCGTATATGAAACGGACACATTGAATGCAAATCCCGTTTTCTTTGTATCTTGAAATTAAATAAACAGTTATGATGTTATTGTCTCACACATATACCATCAAACCGTGCCCAACTTGCAGTTGTTTTGACCCACCTTTGAACGTCTATCCAGTTTTAAACACTATTTATATATTTTATACTGATAAACCGAATTTAGCGTTGTATTTAAACAATGCCATTGAAGGGGAAGGAGGGATTTTTACTATGCGCTGTATTATATTATTTGTAAAATTAAGCTAACTTTGATTAATGTCTACTGGTTGTGATCTAATATATAATAAATGTCCATTTGAGATGTGACGTCATTATTATATTTAAAGTGGATATTGTTATGTATTAGGCTAGTTGAAAAAAGTCCAACGATACGATTTCATCGGTAAGAATGTATAAACATTGTTTAGAGGTTGTGAGGTGTATTAATAACTAGTTAGGCATTTTTTATCGGTAAGGGCCAATGTTTAATACGAGATTCATACAATTCAGTTTAGCAAATGTATCAAATTATAACATACAAAACATAAACAAACGTAATACAAACATTGATTTTATCTAATCTATAAAAATGTAAAATTGCATAGGTGATACGTAAAAATTGTCGTCTTTCGAGTTAAAGACCGAGAATTGACCTTAGAATTGAATCAATTGTTGTTTCCATATGTTAAAGATTTGCATATTGTACCTGTCGTTCACTGCTTCGTTGGTGTAAAATAATTTATATGAATACGAAAACAGAGCTTAATAGTTATTTTTTTTAGTTAGCTATATTTAGTTAAGCATAACATTATTTATATGTAGGAACAGTATTATTAATATTTTGTTTAATTTATAATGGCTTTTCCAAAAAAAGCTAACTAGCATGCATTGCGAAAACATTTTAGTTTTTAAAAATGTAATAACAACCAGCCAGCCATAGGATTGAGTGTGACGTTAGGGATACATTTTCTATGGACAATTTTTAAGAAGATATATTGAAAATTGTGTATATAATTTGCAATATTTAATGAATATACATTACACACGGTGTCCTAACAACAGTATATACCACTGTACGATGTTCAGTGAGCCGCAACTCCGACGGTCACCTTGGGTAAATGTTAATGCGATGTCTACTAGCTTTTCATTTATACGACCAAAATGTTCGTTGAAAACGTTTCAAGGCTGTTGTCAACCGCATTATAATACGCATCTACGAAAAACCTCTACTTCGAAGATACACTTTTTGAGGCAAGAGACGTAGCGCTCACGCACCTGAATGAAAACGCCTTGAATTTCACAAACGAGAATTAGACTTCTGAATATCACCCTAAACTGCCATCTGTCAGAAACGTGCTCCATTTTGACATACCGGAATCATAGTTCGAGCTGTCTTCTTTCTATCTTACACTGAGTTTCGACTCCACTACAATTGCGTTGTTTTGATATTATTGGGTTACCATGGCGGTAATATTATAGAAATAAGTTTTTATAGAAATAATTATATTAATGAGAATGCAAAGTTATAATTAAATGTAACTATAGTTAATAAGGCCTTGGTAAAAAAGGTTAGGTTAAAAAATATTGAAAATCAAGTTAAATCCTGAACCATAATAGTCCATAAGAAACTATCGTATTGAGTTTTTTATTTGTCTTGCATATATGTATAGCCTCTGAGCGAATTTCAGTATAAAGCGTCTAAGTCAATATATATAATATATTTATAATTACATATTTTACAATGTTAAAAATGTTTACTAGTCACCAACCAAATTGGCATAGAAGCGAAGTTATCGTATTGACATGTATGCCATGTGTGAGGAACAAAATCCTTTTCAGAATGATGAGGCCGAGTGATGAACATAACAAAACTTGGCACGTGTAAAACCATTCATATATCATTAAAATGCGTTTAATTCTCCATCCACATAACCGGTACAATACATAAACATCGCGTATATTCTTACCTAATCACACCTAAGCCATTATATAACGAGTATATCAACGGTACACGTCATTCAAATTCGGATACGATATCAATGTGGTGTTATGTGCATACCTAACATTAAAAAGTATATAAGCATATTCAATGATGTATATTTTACAAATGCGCTTCGCGTGCTTTATAAATTGTAAATGAACTAAGAGAATAAGAAATTGCAATTGCAAAATTTAACACACATACATTCTATATAACAGATATAACAATCTGTTTAATAAGATGAAAACGTAATTTAGTACTCTGTACATAATCCTAAATGTGAATACATATAAAAACACTTTTCATGTTTTACTCGTAAATAGGTAGGTATTTACACATACTATAGTTCGTTACGTTTATGTAAACGTAAGCTTATTCCCCCGCGACAATTTGCATAAGGAAAACTAATAATTCATAGACATTTTAAAACAACCGATAGATATGATACAGTACACTCCCTTAACGCTTTTAACGATAAATCTGTGAACAACTGAGCTATCAGAAAAAATATATTTCCCTTATAACTAAATACTCTATTAGCTATGAACGTAATCATCTACATTATATTGTCTTTGGTTAAAAGTACGTTTATTTACACAACTTAAAATTAAATCTAGTACATATTGTTACATTCTCTGAGGAGCTTTTCTAAGGGGACTCTTGGGTACGGAGGCAATAATCTTTGGGGTGAAGGCGTAATGCACTGACGCATTGTAGGTGTTTTTGTTTAGTTCAATGACCAGTCGCGTCTTGTGCGCGAACGCAAACAACTGACATCGATAAGGTTGCGTTGCTTTTTATATAACTCGGTTATTTTTTCAGTTTACGTTCACTTTCAAATGATTGCATGCTGTACTCTAGCCGTGATGTTCGATGTTTTCTATCGCGTTAGTCTCAATAAATTGTTAAATTTTATACAATTATCATAAAGAAATCGAGATATATTATGACCATCTATTAAGATGTTGCCAAAATACGCTAAGGAGGCAAACGGGCAGAAGGCTCACCTGATGTTGAGTGATACTGCCGCCCATGGACACTCTCAAAACCAGAGAGCTTGCGAGTGAATTGCCGGCCTTTCAAGAATTGGTACGGGTTCAGCTGGTGTTGCACGGCAAAAACTGCCTTAAAAAACGCTCACTTGTGGTACGACGAACGGGTCCGATGATGAAACTCAGCTGCAGTTGTTAGTCCGAACACTCTCCATGGTAAATGCGGTAGAAGATACAGAGAAATCACACATCGCTACGCAACGCCAAGGGATCAAGCCGCTCCGAAAGTGATTGGTCGTCGATGATTAGGATCGGTCTTCGTTGAATACGGTCAATATAACAGAAGAATTAGCAAACAACGGCAGGTTAATAAAACTAATTTTTACAAAGATGTAAACATTATTGTTAAATAGATTAGCTTTATAAAGACAAAAAACTTTCTAGATTTTCTATTTCTCAGCCCAAATAACCTGCAATGTCTTGAGAAGTAGCATACTACTATATCTCATATTAAAATTACTAGTTAATGATATAATTGAGATCTTCGAGTAATATTTAACGTATAACAAGACATAAATCTTATCTGAGCTCTATATTGACTACTTTCACCGCGCGATACAGACGACATGTAATCTACATTATGTATAACTGATTTCTCACATAAATATACCATTTCCTTTTCTAGAACATATAATTATTCTACAGTATAAAAACCTCTATAAACTCTTGTATTTTAGTTTCGTTTTCTGGAAGATTATTTAAATCATTAACGTAAGGAATGAAACTGTCTCAAAGTACTTTTATTTTACTAAAGTATAATGCCACACTCACTAAACTCACACTTACAAACTAAAACATAAACGTAAATTATTAGAAAGAATCCTTAACTATCTATATGGTTCTATTTTGAACGAGGTTTTACTATGCCGAAATTGTTCTTAAATTTTCCTTTTGAAATGCATTTTAAATACATATATGATTGATGTACTTATGTTTATTATATTTAATCTATTGTTTGCATAGTATTTCAATATATGTATTCTTTACGACACAATTTTTACGTATACCAACGGAAACAATGCAATATAGGTACATAATCACGAGTAACCGTTAGCCGCGCCGATAGAAATACATATACAGTTTACATATTGCTCAGGTATGCAACTGCAATGTTATATTTAGAAAAGTCAGTTCATATATTGCAAACATGCACACCACCTACACTTATAGGGAGTCAATCAATACAATATTATAAATATTATATATGTATATATAAATAGGTAAAGTTTTTGCTATAAAGTTAAATTATAAAGCATCAAAGTCAAAAGTAACATTATACACGGTTAATTGAATTAATGATGGTAAAAGAAACAATAATTTAAAATAAATCTTTTCTTAAACATTAATACATATTTATTAATATTAACTTACAAAAAGTTACTTTTACAAGATAAAAAACAATTAGAACATTAGTTTTTACATTCATGTAAGTAAAGACACATGAGTTATGGAATAGTTGGAGGAATTGGCTTAAATAATTTCCAATAGGTTTCTCCTTTTTAGATTAAAATTAATGATCATATAATTTATATAATAATAATCTAATTAGTGTCATTTGTTACTATTGTAGATTATAATATATATAAATTATAAATATAAATGTGAATGACTGGTTGTTTCAGAGTTGTTATACTAAAAAATGTATCATAATACTATTACTAAACAAACACATTGAAATGGGACTAGGTTTACTTATTAAATAGAATGTATATTTATATGTCCATCATTTAAAAAACCAACATCAAAAAGTTTTGTTGTTTTACTCTTTTTTAATTAATATATTTATCTAATAAAATAATAATAAATAAAAAGGTGCAAATTAATTAATCTGATTTTGGTGGACAGAAATGAATTTTGTAACTATGTTTAAATTGCCTAGCAATCTTTTAATTTTCGATTGCAAAATTATTACTTCATAATAATCAATTAAACAATTTGTACATAAGATTAAATAAATATAAGGAAATATTCTGTTTAGTTCAGGTAGGAACTGTTTCAAAATTCAATATAAAAATCAAGTGAAATTTACAAGGATCTTATTAATGTTTGAGGTGCACTCCTTAATCTTATATCACACCGATTTTTATATATATATTATGTTTGACTTTTTAAGAATGCTCAAGATAATTCTAGAATACAGACCTGAGAATTCAAGTATTCTTCTTAATTTTAATGTAACGGTCTTTAAAAAAGCTCAGAGCTCCCTCTAATCAAATCACATAAGAATACTCAAGAGAAATGTCTTGTAAGAGAGAACTCACCTTAGGCGATCAACAACAGCTTGACGTTTAGGAGGTAGTATCATTTCTTCCATGGGCTGCAACATGTTAGGCGGGTGCTGGGCAGGCGAGGCGCCGGGCAGCAGGCCGCCCGCGCCACCGCCTCCAACCAGATGCTCCACGGTGAATCTTTACTACTTTACCTCTGAACTACCATTCTCAGTCCTTAAACTACAGATCAGCGATCAAGTACAGCAACGTAGTGATAACACTATGAGATAGTAACAACAGTTCGTCCTATACACTCTTAGCACATTTTTCATGATTACACTTTTACAAGTCACAGCACTTGTACGAGCCTGATTCACACGGTACCTTCAAGAGTCACTTAGCTCGCTCCGTCTGCTATCATGTGATTTAACAAACGGAATATTAAAAACAAAACTTGTAAAGTCACATATCAGTCATCGCGACTAAGTTTTTAATGCTAGTTGTAACTTCTCAATTTCAGTACTACAAAATCATTCTTTAACACCTTAATGGAATGATAACTTAATGATTTAATATTGTCATTTCATAGAATTGGAGAATAACTTGAATTTATCATTATCACAATAAACAGTTCAACGCCCACAAGTTCCCAAACACAAGAATTGACTGAAGGCTGAAGCACTGAAACTGGCTTGACGGGCGCGGGGTACATAACGGCGACTCGGCGACGCTACTTTGAAGTTTAGCTATAATCTGACATAACCTTAGAGTTGTACACGACTTGTCGATAAAAAATTAAATTAAATATTCGCTAATATTCTTCTTTGGTAATGTTTACCGACAGGTATCAAAACCAAAAATATGAACTAAATTATGTATTATCAAAGCATGAATAAATCTAAGAGATCCTACTACTATTAAGGAGATAAAAAATATATGACATTTCTTTTTAATTCGAGTGCTCGACTCAATGATATCAGTTCTTGCGTATAAACCGTAGATAGAGTATAGAACTAGATGAGCTTCTAAAATAACAATAATAACTAAAGAGAGAAGGCATTAACGTGAAATACTTAAGTGCGAGCGAAACAGAGTATCAGTTTTTCTGTCTCTATTTGCGTAACGGGTTTTATTTGTTTACCACCGAGCCCATGGTGGTAAACAAATTTTCACCACTTACTGATAAATCTGTGAAACCCAAGTCAAACCCATATTTTAAGACTTTATCCTCATAAAGAGGTGTATTTAAAGTGTCAGTCATGGTGAATTGTTACATAATTCGCTGTAAAAGCTATAGTGAACGTAAAGAACCAAACATAACCTTTCATCGGTAAGTAGCTTATTTTGTCACGCCTCACTACTCAGTAACTTTGTTCAAGAATTATTCATACGAATGTGTATTTTGGTCAATAATAAGCAATCTTCAATGAAATAAAACTGTAAATACGACATTATGTCAATCATTCGCTATCTCACACGCTGTACGCTGATGCCTGGTCTATACCATAGTCCGTCTACGGTATAAATAAACACCGCTGTGACTAGGAAATTTGTGATTTGATCCGATATTTATGGATGTGATTTTAATTAAGCCTAATATGTTTTTGTGCATCGGAAAAAGTCAGTCTGACCAGTTGATTTGATTAACTTTGCCCTCATTTTCGAATAATTCATCCAAAAACTACGGCAAATACAACAATAACAAATATTTGAAATTTATTTCCGATAAAATAGAGTTGGGTAACTTAACGAAAAAAATGATCAGAAGATCAGAACAATTAATTAAAGTATGAAACTTATTAATGTATGCATATCTGTCTTATCATTGCTGTCCGGATCACTTACCCACGATTCGCGTATTTTCATAAATATCGATTAAATTAACAACACTATTTGCTTGACATAAATGATTTGAAGCTTAACGGTTGCTTAACGTCAAAATAATGGTATATGACATCTGACAGTTAAGTCTTTGACATTCTTTTGTTAAATTTCCAAATATTGTCATTTTAAGATAAGAATGAAAATGTTCTTCGTTCTGTAAAAAAAATAGATTTATGTTTTTATATCCCTGAGATTTTCATAAATAATTGTTCGTAAAGGGTTAACAAGAACAAAGACAAACACAAATAAAATTCTTACACGTAATTTCATCATAGTTTCAAATAATAGTACACTACTATGTCGGCTCTTCGAGCAAGATTAACTTCGGCTCTATTAACTCGACGTTTATTGAATCAGACAGTAAACAGTTCAAAACATTTAAACGGAGTTAAAGTGTACAAACAGAATGGTAAGTATATAAATTGATAATAAATTAGCCGAACAATAAATTTATGACATAACCTGAATTTGTTTCATTTTTCTGAATCTATAGTTAGTGCCAAGTTCAGCACTGTATCAGATCAAAAGCCAGCAGAATCAAAAGGAAATCCAGAAAAAAAAAGAGTTTCAGGCCGAAACACGAATGCTACTTGATATTGTAGCAAGATCTTTATACTCCGATAAAGAGGTAACTTACTCTCTTACATACTAATTAGGGTAGCCCTTCCAATAAACCTGTTTTGATTTCAAACCCCTGTTATATCTCAACCTATCCATTCTTATAGTTAAGATGTTTTTTAATGACTATATGAACTAATTATTTACAGGTATTCATTAGAGAACTTATATCAAATGCTAGTGATGCATTGGAAAAGTTCCGGTACTTAAGTGTGAGCTCAGCAGCGGAATCTCTACAGTTAGATAATACTGATAGATCACTTGAAATAAGGCTCACTACTGATAAACAAAACAGAACCCTAGTATTTCAAGTAAGTTTATAAACTAAAAGTTGTGTTAATTTATGAAAGAGTCTAAACTTTTAATTTCTACACATTTGGTAAATAAATGAATGATGAATGTTTTAAAATTTAACAACTATTAGTAAAACCTTATCCTCTAGATATCACCTCTTTTTCTTTCTTCTTTTTTAATGGTATTTAGTTTGTTTGAAAGTACTGTTTATTAATTTTGGTCTTCAACAGATTTTGTAAGATTTAAAAATAATTATTAATCATATATTACAGGATTCTGGAATTGGAATGACAAAAGAGGAATTGATCCAGAATTTAGGTACAATAGCAAGATCTGGTTCAAAATCATTCATTGAGGAGGTTAAGAAAAAAGGAGCTGACGAAGCGAGTTCCATTATTGGACAGTTTGGTGTTGGCTTCTACTCTGCATTTATGGTTGCTGATAAGATTGAAGTGTTTACTAAGAGTAGTAAAACTGGATCTCCAGGATACAAATGGACTTCAGACGGGTGAGATAAAAATCCTTATAGTTTGTTCCTTCTTAGAAATCATTTTTTTTATTAATAATTTGTTACAAGGTTAAAAATTACTTAGCAAAAAATTTAATCAAAGTAGTATTAAATTATTTCAGCTATATTGATATATATTTTCAGGTCTGGAACCTATGAGATTCAAGAAGTGGATAATGCCCCAATTGGAACAAAAATTGTTGTATACCTCAAAACAGACTGCAGGGAATTTGCTGATGAAGAAAAAGTTAAAAGTATGTTTTTAACAACACTGCAATATCTATCTAATAATAGAGCCTTTGTAGAAGTGGTTTACTCATGTGCCATATTACATACAATATATACATTATACATACAATTGTTTTAATTCAGAGGGCCAGATTATATATGCCCCATAATTTAAAATTATAAATATGAATAATTAATGTTTCGTTTTGCAGCAATAATTATGAAATACAGCAACTTCATTGGTAGTCCAATTTATTTGAATGACACACAAGTTAATTCTATAAAGGTTTGTTTTCTTCAATTTGTTTTTATTTATTTTTTTGGTATACATACTCAATATTCGATTTTTATTTGGAATAGTGTGTTTGCTATCTATATACAAGTTAAATAGAAATTGTGGAGATTGATATAAACAATAAAAGTTTTATAAAAAATACAACTGGAATAGTAGCGAGCATGATATATATAATTTTTTATTTTTTGATAGATTATTTTTGTACTTTTAGCCACTCTGGTTAATGGACCCCAAAGAGGTGACACACGAACAACACATTGAGTTTTACCGATTCGTGGGCAATTCGTACGACAAGCCGCGATACACACTTCACTATAAAACAGACGCCCCTTTAAGTATACGGGCAATATTGTATGTCCCGGAAGGAAAACCGGGATTGTTTGAGCTATCGAGAGATTCTGACGTTGGAGTTGCTTTGTATTCACGAAAAATTTTAATTAAAAGCAAGGCAGAAAATATTTTACCCAAGTGGTTGAGATTCGTTAAAGGTGAGATGCTTTTGGTTTAAACTAATTGTATTGGTGACAATTTAATAATATTATTGTTAATTGTCAGGTGTTGTGGATTCCGAAGACATTCCTCTTAATTTAAGTAGAGAGTTACTACAAAATAGTGCGTTAATTGCGTAAGTATATTTATTTACTTAATAATATAGTAATATTTTAGTCAATTAAATTAATCGTCAGGGTAATAGATCAAATCCCATGACCATTATACTATCTTTTATAAAGATAGTATATATTATATAGATAGTAGACCCCACACTTTTCCTTGTGGCCATTTGCCATTTCGTTTGGCCTTTGGGACTAATAATGTTAGATGAACTTTTATCTTCTATTAATTATTTTTATCTATAATTATTTATTTCTCAAACACCACGTATTGTTTGTTTATAGAAAACTTCGACATGTCCTCACAAATCGTTTCCTCAAATTCATGGTTGAGAACTCGCAGAAAGATCCCGTTGGATATGATGCGTTCTACAAGGACTACTCCTTGTTCTTCAAAGAAGGGATTGTCACAGGTCAAAGTCCTCTAGAAAAGGTATTACATTATTATACATATTTAAATGAAGATAGAAAAATAGTATCTTTATGTTACGTATTAAATTATTATCAACTCAATGCTAGGCCATAGAATTTTAAGTTAAATAAATGACTTATTATTATATATTCAAATGTCTTTTTCTTATATAACTATTGTTACTGGATTTTACAGGAAGAAATAGCAAAACTACTTCGTTTTGAATCTTCTAAACTGGAAAGTGGTGTAAAGACATCTCTTGCCGATTATAGTGCCAGACAGAAGAATGAGCAGAAGAGTATATATTATTTGGCTGCTCCTAGGTCAGTTTCTTTTATTTATTTATTTAAGATTATAAACTTTAACATAAGCAATAAAAGCGCTATTACAAATTAAAGTTATTATTATTTTACCTTTTTTCAATAATCAATCATTATTTAATCAGAAAGAAAACGCTTCATAATATATTATCTTATTAAATTATTAATAAATTGAAAAGCTTTTTAATTATTAATTATTTTTTCATACAACAATATTGCAGCCGTGAATTAGCCCAGTCTTCCCCATACTATGAATCTCTCAAGAAGCGAGATGTTGAGGTCCTTTTCTGTTATGAGATGTATGATGAACTGGTTCTATTGGAACTCAAGGAGTTCAATGGAAGAAACCTTGTCTCCGTGGAAAACGATATGCAAAAGGACCCTGCTGAAAACTCAGATACTATTATTGGTAAGATTTTTCAATGAATTAATTTGCACAATTATGAAGGCGAACTTTGTACTGTGTGTGTGCGTGTGGTTCTACTTCGACAAACGTATGCCTCTTTGCTAAATACAAGGCAGGCAACACACCCACTAACATGGGTGTCTACAGGATGCCTTTTATGGTTGTTCCATAGGCTTGTTTGCCCCCTTATCTTATAATAAAAAAATTAAGAAAAGTATAAAGTTCTGGTGAATGTATAGCTATGATTGAAGCAATATAACCATGGTATGTTTAAAGGACTTTTTATTATTTATATGCAATATATGTTGGTTATATCAGTTATATATTCTTCATAAAATATTATTAATTTACCATATAAAAATGCGTTTTCATATCATGTTTGAATTTTAAATTAATAAAACTGCCCCGATGTTATGTATGCTTTACAGCCTTAAATGGCATATATCAGTCAGTGTAATTCAAATTTTGTTTTATTGTTTACAGGTAGCGATGACCTACAACAGACCCAAGTGAATGACCTGCTTTCATATTTAAAGTCACATTTAACAGGCAAAGTGTTTGAAGTGAGAACAACCCAAAAGTTAGATTCTCATCCCTGTGTAATAATTGTACCGGAAATGGCTGCAGCTAGACATTTTATAAGAACTCAAGCTCAAAATCTTAGTGAAGAAAATAGATTTGCACTTTTGAGACCACAATTGGAGATAAATGCAAAGTAAGGTTTTGTTTTTGCTTGTCAAAGTTACTCTGTAAACTGATAACTATTTCCAAACAAAAAAATTGGCTGAAATTTGCTCAAAAGTTTTGGTTTGAATAATTATGATGGTTCTTGACCAATATAAACATATGAAACAATTTTTTTTATACAATAATGAATGATTAATAAAATTTCAGGCATCCAATAATCAAAAAACTCCACAAGCTCATTTCAAGTGACAAGGAGCTGGCAAATATGATTGCACAACAGCTGTTTTCCAATGCTATGGTCACCGCAGGATTAGTTTTGGACCCAAGAAATCTGATCACAAACATAAATGAACTTCTTATTAAGGCTTTAGAAAAACATTAAAAGGATTTTATGAATGTTAATGTGTATTGCAAATAAATTATTTGTTTATAAAACATCTCTTTAAAAATATCTTTTGACTTGGAATCTTCGTGACGTGTGACTTCATATATTAGTTATTATTTTAGTGATGTATGGCAGTTGTTGTTGTTTTTTCGTCCTAGAATAATACTATAATAATACTCATGGCCATGTGTAATACCTTTTCAGAATCCCTATTAAATGCGCCAAAACTTGTAATACAGGGTCACTTTTCGGTAGAGTAATTTTTTTTTCACAGTGGGGTCCGAAGTAAACAAAAAGTTTTGATTTAAAAAAAAATTTATAGTATAACTTAATATTATCTTCAATACACTCAATAAACAACTATAAATAGTATGTCTAACGCAAGAACTCATCAGTACCAATCTAGTGGATATCATGAAAAAGATACAGGTGTAATTCTTTTCGAATTTTAATAAAAAATAGTAAAAAAAATTCAATTTTCTTATAAAACGCAAAATAAATAATAACTCTGCAGGGGTTGAGCTTAGAGACCTCCCGTAGAACAATTTTTTGCAGCTGATGACCTCATCTATCCCCTATTTGCGTTTGATCCACGACTTTTTGACCACCCTGTATATGAGAGTTTTTAGGGTGAAGACTGGAGCCTTCCTACCTTACCTACTTTATGTAGTTAAGATCAGTATGTAGATTAATTTTACTATTAATCGTGGGCTTGAGGCAATATCACTTTACGATAAGCGTGATTAGTGTAAACTGTAAGCCGTAAGGCAAAGCAATTAGTATAAGAATGACGCTCACGCTCTGTCTTATGACTATTTTCATACAAATTCGTTATTTTGTCATAAGCCCCGTATTCAGTTATGTTATTCATCTAGATGAAACAAATAGAAAAACATTCAAGAAAATAGAAATAAATCCTGGTATAAACAAATCAATTTAAATCCTATTTATAATACTACTTAGTTTCCTTTGAAAGTGGATTTTTCATAATATCAATTATATTCGCTCTTGCACACTTTGATCTATGACTTTTTTATAGTTGTAGACTGTGGTTTCTACTTTCTGTTTTTAAAACTCTGTGGACCGCATTTCGCAGTTTTGCACCTGCGCAGTGCGCAACAAAAAATTTAAAAAATCAATCAACCGAAGCGGCGAAAGACGGCCCTGCTTCGCGCTAAATGCAATTCTTTTGAAGTTTGAAAATGCCAAACACTTAGATACGTTTAAAATAGAGCGTCGAGTGTCGTACTCCTTTTAGAAATTAGAGTATTGTAGGAAGTCCCAAAAGAACAAAGCCTTGTCTCGCGTTATTTTATACTTGTTGTGTCAATGGTCACCAAATTTCGTATTGTATTGTATTAAAAGCTTATTAATATAGATATTCGTTCGTGTTAGTTTGAATATACACCGGTGAGTTTGTTTAAACTTATAAAATACCCAACTAATGTGCTTGACCAGGTAAAACAGCTAAAATGAGTACAATAGATATTAATAAAATTGAAAACGAGGATGAAAAAACGTTGGATAAAAAGCAAATAGAGGCTGAGGAAAAAGAAGTCATGCTAAAAACTGAAGCGGATAATGAGGATGACGTAGAATTGAGGCGTGACGGAGGGTTGGTCAAGACAGCATTGTCGGGGGACATTACGGAACAAGGACGCGAAGTCAAACCCAAGTTTATACCTATTGGCGCAATTAAAATGCCAGGATTTTTCACTCGAAACTCAGACAGGGAAAAGTCCAAGGTATGAGACCTAGCAAGTTTTTATTGTATCTGCACAATCATACATAAAATACATAAGCCACAGCTATCAATTCAACCATCTATTGTTATCTTTAATGCTCTTTATTACTTAATGTCATTTTATTGTCAGTTAATAAATTTAATGTGTCTTAATAGCCCTTTTCTTATACAGGAAGAAGAAGCAATTGAAAAGGACACAGAGACAGAAAAATGTCAAGATCAAAGGGATGAAGATAGTCATCCAAAGAATCACTTTAAATTTTTACAAAGTTGCCCTTTTACAAGCTTTTTACAAAAATCTCATAATGATAGTGGTGAGTTATTCTATCCTTCTATATTAACTTTTTTAAATTGCAATTCTTTGGTTTTCTTGTGTTTTTGGAGTAGGGCTTTATGGACCCTTTCAACTATATGGACAACTATAATTAATTTTCTTTTTCATTTATAAATAAGTTTTTGAGTAATTCAATTTTCAGTCTCTACTTATTTTGTAATTAATCTTTAAGAGCTTAAATGTCATGTTAAGTCTAAGCTTTACATTTTCACAATTTTAGAAGGTAATGCAGAAAAAAGCCGAAGTTTTGCTATTTTCAACAGCTTGAAATATCCAAAAATGTTTAACAAGCAAACTCGTAAAAATGCTGAGGCTACATTAGCATCTATGGAGACACTGGAAGATAAACTTGATACTACAAATGATGGAATGGAGAATATCAAATTAGATGTGGCTGTAAGTGCTTATATTATTTGATGTCAATCATGTAGCATGATATTATACAGCCTCCTCATATATCATTCTCTTAATTGGACTATCTACTTTTTTGTCTTATATTAAGATATTTTCATTTAGTGCATACTTTCATATTGTGATACTTAAAAACTCTGATCATTTTAATAAATAAAATATTATACCACCTTTTTCTGTTAATAACTTAAACTAAAAAATATTGTCCCATTTGGTGCAGATGTCATGGAATAACGATACTTAATTGTTAGATAACTCTTAGGGTTATTTAAAAAATATAAAAATGGTGATTTCTCTTAGGAACCTGAGGATGGAAAAGTTGCTACAAAACTACCATTAAAAGAGAGGATTCGTCAGAAAAAATTCATAATTGGTAAGTTTAAAAATCAGGTATAAATCTGACTTAATCAATTAGTTGATAACAACTTAGAACCAGAATAGTTTTGTGTTACAGTTTTGATATTCTAAATATAGTTTTATTATATATAGGATTTTATTATTATTATTATTAAACCTGGGATAGTTTTTGTCATGTTGAAGTGCTACAATTCATTTTAATTTTTAAAGCTCGGGTAAAATATCAATCTATACTTAATCATTTGATATTTTCTTAACAGATGACATAGTGGTATGCGTGGTAGTGTTTCTGGTAATCCTAGCAGTGATAATTGGCGTCTCAATCGGCGCTCAAGCAGGGCCACCCTCCGAACGTCCGCTCAGACTTGGCAAATTTATCACTACTCAAACTACTTGTGGCCTAGTGGAGGGGTAAGTCGAATAAAATAAAAAAAGTAAAGTGTAACGTATTTAATATGTAAATAAATAAATAATCTTGCAGCCTGTTGGACGAAGGTGTCTATAAGTTTTACGGCATTCCTTACGCTTCGCCACCGATCGACGAGAGAAGATTCACGTACGCGCAACCTCTCAACAACCTTTCCCTGTGCTGGAACGACACCCTGAGCGCTCTCCAGCCCACTCCCAAGTGTCTGCAGTTCCTCGAAAACGGGACGATCATCGGGGAGGAAGACTGCCTGACTCTGGACGTGGTGACGCCCCACGTAAGGTACGATTCGCCTCTGCCCGTCGTGGTTCTGATCGGCGCGAACACTCTGGCCGGAGGCGTCAGCCCCGCCCAGCCCTCCGCCCTCTACGCTCGCACCAAAGAGGTAGTCTTCGTTCGACCCAACTTCCGACTCGGACCTTTCGGCTTTTTAGCTCTCGATATCATCTCCAAATCTCGGTATCCGGAAACCTCGGGCAACTACGCCCTCAGTGACCTCGTAGTGGCCCTGCAATGGATCAAATACAACATCAAGCATTTCGGAGGAGACGCCGAATCCGTGACGTTGTTGGGGCACCGCGCCGGGGCGACCCTCACCGCGGCCTTGACCACGAGCAAAAAGGCCCAAAAACTGTTCTCCCGGGTCTGGCTGTCGTCCGCCTCGGTGATATTCCCGGGCGAAGCGCTCGAGCTGTCGGAGAAAAATAACGAACAGTTCAAACAGATCAGTAAGTGCGACGACATCGACTGCCTCAGAAACATGTCTCCGGTACAAATTTTGTCTTCCACTCCCGATACGTGGCTCGGCAACGGCGTCGACACCTTGCCCTCGTCCGAGGAAGTCAAACGCTCCTGGCTGGTGTTGGACGGAGATTTTTTGAGAACTCACGCCTACGAGAGCTGGGACGCCCAGAAGGAGGCCAAGAAGGACGGAAAGGAGAAAGTCTTCAAGCCGATGGTGTTCGGGACGACCCAACACTCCGGCCACTCCGAACTGCTGAGGATGAAGCACCTCGACTGGACGGCGGACGCCGTGGAGGCCGCGGTGAACGGGAGCTACATCGGTGAAAAGAATTTGACGGCCACCGTATTCGAGCACTTCAACAAGACGTACGAGGGCCTGGTCGAGTTGATAACTTCGATACGCACCCTGTGTCCGTTGGTCAGTTTGGCGAGAATGCGGCTCGCGGCGCCCATGTACGTGGTCCTAGGATCCGGGGCCGGCGGAGGAATTAAAGGGTCGAGAATCGCCGGAATCGACGCCGACGTGGAAGCCATTTTGGGCACTTTCGACTCCGAAGTGCCGGAGCAGCGTCGTTACATGGCGGCCATGCAGCAGCTGTTCTACTACTACGTGTGGCACGGTCGCTTATCGGGCCCCGAGAGCGGCCTGATCGCCGTGGGGCAAGACCTGCTGCCCCACCACGGCCTGCCCGCCTGCGACATGCTCATCCAGGAAGATATCGTCCCGAGGTACGCACATATCGACTGAGTAATTTTAGTTTTTTCGTTTGCTTTGACAGTTTTTAATATTCCAGTAATCTAGTTCTAAGCGAAATTTAGTTTGCACTTATTTATTAGTTCAACTTGCCGACGAGATCTTCTAAGACTTTTAAGCGTTATTTTCTTATTGTAGATTTATTTAGATTACTATTTGTATCTGTCGACGTGTAGTTAGCGATATTAACTTTTGACTTAAGTGTTTTTTTAAAGTATTGAAACTTCAAGTACAAACACTGATTATTTCGATTTATTATAATCTACGTAAGACTGATTGTGATTTTATAAAATGGATCTCTGCAGAAACAATCTCATCAGTGATAATGTAATGCTCATTTGATTTAAGTATTATCGGTTACCTTACTTTTAATAATATGAAGTCGTTTCGGACGTAGAGCCCGAAGTTAACTTAGTTGTATAAGATAAGTAATAAGTTTGTATTTTTTTACTTTAACTCACTTTTGTATTCGAGAGGCAGGATTACGTACATAAACGTAATTAATTTAAAGTCTGACTTTCCAAAGAGTAATTTTTATAGCATTTTGTGTGTCGTAGTCATTAAAATATACATCTCTTGCACAAAACATTTCTGATATTTTTGTACAAGACGTGTGTATGTATAAGTTGTACTCGTGTTGCATTTAACAATTATGACCAAAATACCGCTTCGATAGTTTTTACCAATGAAATGTTCGCTTTGCATTTTTATACCAAATAATGAATTTTATACCAAATTTCTTGTCTACGTGTGAAAATTAATGAACTGGTATAGTTGTCATTAACATACTGATATATACTGAGCTGATACCAAAAGTGATCAATGATAATTTAGTGTTAATGCGTAGTTGTATACCGTCGCTTTGTTTTGTAAATTGGTATTTCAGCAATAAATGTTTAAGACTGGAATTTTGTTTATTATTTCGGATTTAGCATTAACCATTTATTGAATATTCCTTTAACTAAATTCTCACCATAAATATTAATGTTGATTTAGTCAGCAATTTAATTATAAGTCCTAAAACAACGTGTGTGCAAGAAAATGTGACTTAACAAACTTTACACACACATATCAATTATATTAGAACATAAAAATGATTTCAAACCATCAAGGAAAAAATTAAAACACATAATATAAAAATAAAATAAAAATGTGTTTATAAAAACTTAAACCTCACCAGGGCGTGACACAAAATTACGGTAATACGGTGTATTATTAGTAATGCAGGTGTTCATGGCTTAATAAAATGTGTTAATATATTCATTTACATCAGTTGATGAGAGTCTAATAGACTTGCTGATATCACTTTTTCTAAAATTCAAAGTAGAAGAAATAAGTCTAAGGTATTGTTATTTACATTTTTAATACCATTGTACTGATCAAGACTACCCATTGAAACCAACTCAAACAAGTCTAGCTTTAACAGACATATTCCCAGCTAGATCGCGGGCAGGTGAGCACCAAGTTACACTTGGGGTGGCAGGGCCAAGCCGACACCAGGCAGTTTCGGCACCTGTGTGCGAAACCTATGAAGCGCCTCTACGAATATTAATGTTTCAAGGATTTTTATTATATGTTAATTTTGACCATTATTATATATAAATTATATTTTCCTTACTTATTCAGGGAGAGTAACGGACGTAGCTTTGGCGGCATAAATTAAAGATAGACAAACAAATTAAACCACAAACGTAAATATGTACTATCTTGGGAGACGTGTACAATAAGCGTAATATATGTTTTTATTTATTTAAATTTGCGACTATTGTACATACTTATAGATACTCCACTACAAATAATATATTGTTGTGTAGCAAAATTATTTCGGTGTCGGCGCCCTTATTGTCTTGGCGCTTGTGTGCGCCTCACACGGGCGCGGCCCTCCGGGGTGGGGTGTTAAAGATACCAACTAAATAAATGGGTCATTGGAATCAGATAGGATATTCAATAGTCTTATGATAGAAGGCAATCAATTTGGTAGGTATGTGATAGATATATAGGAGGTAAATTAGGAGAGCAATTGCTGCTATAATTATATAGCAGCTTAAACCAGTATAATATGTAATTACAAATATTGTAATAATAAGGAATTAATCGATTTGTCAGCGCCTACCCTCATTTAAAATAAAAGCTTATAATGAAAAGTATATTCGTCTAAACTTCCAATTAAATTAAAGATTTGCGGAATACCTGATGTAAGGAGTCACAAGTGGATGATGCATAATATGCCCGCATGGCGAATCAATCTTTACTGAATCGTGGGACTAGCTTAATGACGTTGGAGATGTCTGGATAGGTCACGCTGCATAAACTAGAGGATGGTCATCGCTATACAATTATTTATGACGATTCTCGTATATAGATATATCATTAATAACTAGCTGCTAGTCTGCGTGGAGTTAGGATAGTACTTTTTTCGTGTCTAATGCAAAGAAATTTATTGTAACTGTTTATTAGTGAACCCTGTCATTAAACCCAAGAGTATATATAGTAGACCGAGGCGAATCGGATCACTTTTTCTTTGAGGTTGAGTAAATCATACTAAAGTGTTATATAATGTTATTTTTATTGATAAAATCGTAAGAAGTAACAATTACCTATGAAATAAACATTTGAAAACTTAAATCATACATATATTCTCTTAATTAGCTATTAAAAACTAAAAAAAGGAAAATATCCGAATCGCCCTAACCTTCGGGGTGAATCGGATCGTACACAACATATAACAAAATTTTAAGGTATAGTGTTAAATAACTTTGGAATCAGTAAAAATATATAATAATAAGATCAATTTTAATTATTGGCATATAATTCACATATATATGGTCCTTTTTTTTTGTAAGCTCGTGAACGGTACTGAAAAAATCTTAGCAGCTTTACGTAAGGTCAACTCTTTGTTCTGGACTTTATTTACAGCTTCTTTAATTTTTTCTTGAGACCATTCTCCGGCGGTCATGAAATTAAAATGAATCAATAACCTCAAGATTATACTTAAAAGCGAATTGGTTCTTTAATATAAACACCTTGCTTAACAATATCAACCAATGTAGTTGAATTTTAAGACAAATCCGTCAAATGACATAAAGAAATCGTAAGCGCGTTCCTTAGATGAGCGCCAAATTGCGACACACACAAAAAAACCGAGTGGCTGACGAGCGGCATTGCCACTGATCCACAAGCACGATCGAAATACTGCTTATGTCGAGAGGTGCTCAGTAAATGGAGAGACACAAAACGCCGGTTGAGTGCGTTCTATGTGAATGTGATATTTGAATTATCAACAGATTTCTTATTTTGATCCGATTCGCCTCGGTCTACCCTACCTAGAATACTTTAACTTGGCGAAAAGTTGTTAAAAAGTTCTTTTTAGTTTTGACTTACAGTGTAAACGTGTGACGATGGCGCGTTTAGGAACTAGACCAAAATTTTCTACATGCAATGTAATCTAAGTATAATAGCACACGTGTTAATGCAATTAACAATAACAAAGGCGAGACGGCTGTTTATGACTTCGGGTGTCTTTTTTAGAAATTTCGGCACCGGTTAGTTTTGTAAGCTGATTATAAAAACAATTACATTTAAGTATGTTGTAGATGTCTAAATATGAAAATATTTTTTAGTAATAGAGAATGGCTGTGCGTTATAAAGAGTGAATTAATGTTTGAGTTTTGTGTCACACCAAACTTTAACTCATTTTTACGTTATAACGAAAGACGTTGTAAAGACTTTACTCTGTATTTAAAAACAATATTGACTATTAAATATAAATTACTTACTTGTATTTCGCTTGTGTTTTCTGATATAAAAAGATGTGAACTCAGACTGTGACTTAATAAATTCCTATATTTCCAGCGCTTTTTGCTATTGGCAGCGAACGATACTTAATAAAAAAACTTACAATATTTTCTTCCACCTTTTATGAGTTTCTTATCAAAGTAAATAAAATATCAAAACGAATCACCAAATAAATTTAATATAAATTGAACAAAATATTCATGACAAATATTTTTAAATTAAAAAAACATGCTGCAAATAAATAATAAATACAAACAGTAACACAATTTTGTCGTAAAAACAATTTACCAACGAATATCTGATAAAATTTAATGATTTCTCTCTCTAAGTGGAGAAATAATTTGAACATTTTCTTTGCCAATTTTCTGCGATTTGCGAATGGCCAAGGGCGACTTGGGTTTGACTTCCGCGTCCTTCTTCATTTTGTCGAGTAAAGACGTCTGCTTCGCGATATTCATCGTTAACTCTTCGTTTTCTTGGCGAAGAAGGGAGAGTTCGACCACCAGTGATTGTTGATCTTGAATCTGAAAGATGGCCACAAATGTCAAAATACGGTCGAAATAAAACTCTGCAACGGACGATGCTAATTTATGAATATTTTAGTCGAGTTATGTAAAGGACAAAGGTTTTAGACAACCTGCATTGTACTTTAATCTTTATTTACTGTGGAGGGTCCTAGGTATTAATTCCAATTTTCTTAAAAAGAAAATTAAATTTTTTTGAAGTTATAATTCTTTAGGCGCGTTATGAAAAATTTATAAGAGTGAAATTTTACGATGCGCGCGCACCGTGATACAAAATTAACAGAATGAAGTTGCCCACGGAAGATGCTACGGCATTGGACATAATTTAAAAACAACATTCGAATAATAATAGAATTTATGTTACACTTAATGTGAGGGAATAATAATAAATATTTATTTATTTAATTTTTCAAATGTAAACTGAACTTTATTGACTATAATGAACTCTTTTTCCAGTCTTTGATTATTTAATTATTTGCATGCAATCAAAAACTATTTTTAATAATTCCAAAGAACTAACTTCTTACGCGCGTACATAAGTACACGCACCCTTTTTTGTTTTAGTGTGGCAGAGTGGAAATTCTCCCCGCGTTAAAGGTACACAGGTTCTTTTTATTAATTTTTAATTATTTTTATTATTACTAGTAGGTTAAGAAAATTGTAAATACTGTATATTATGTTTAGTTTTATTCATAGAATTAAAAAGTTTTTTTTCCAAGAAAACATTATTTATAAAAATTGAATTTACCTAGCAAACGATTTCTCTGCAAGACAAATTCAAATGCAAGACAGAAAGGCCATCCATAAGTTACCTGTTGCTGAAGACAATGGTTTTCGTTCTCGAGGCGGGTGATCTCGGAGGCCGCTTGACCCAACAAAAGTCGGGACTGTTCGGCGGCCGCGCTCGCCTGACCGGCGTGCTCCGTCGCCAGCTCGCAGAGCATACGCTTCTTTTCCACCTGATTCATTATCAATATTAATAAAACACCTTTGTATTCACCGGTTCAAAACGCGTTGCAGCAATTTTGCAATAATACATATTAATTGTAAATATTATATTGTGACAATATTAGTCTGTGTTAATACCTCAATTATTATAACTAACGATACTTAATATTGTGAAAACCTCACCTCATCACGAAGCAATTTGATTTGTGAATTGGATTCCTTCTTGATCAGTTCGACATCTTCAATCAATTCACTCTTGATAGAGCCCAATTCACGATAGGCCTCCTTTTCCACATTCTGCAAACTCTCAATCAGGGTCACGTTGTGTTCCATGATACGATTATGCTCTTTGGCAAGAGCCGCTTTGGATTTCAATATGTTGACTAATGCTTCTTTGTACTCGTTGCATTCCATCACCGCATTGTTTAGAGTATTTTTATACGATGTCAGTTCCTCTTCCAAGACTTCCTTTGAATTTGTCAATGACTGAACCTGATTTTCCAAATGCTCCAATTCGTTGTCAGACTCCCGTAGACGCATGGTCAGCACTTGGACAATGTCGCGCGTCACGGATAACGATAGTTCAAATTTACTCTTCTCCTTCACAGCTTTGTCTACGTCGACTGTCAACCTATTGATTTCATTTTCAAATTCTATTGTTTTCAATTTGTTCTCTTCTCTCAGTTCGTCCAATTCTCGGACTGCTTTTAATTTTTCGTTATTCATTGTTTCATTTTCGTCTTTTATTTTGTCTAACTCTTTTTGTAATGCATTGCATTTCTCTTCAGTCGCAGTTAAATTAGCTTTAAGATTTTTAGCTTCATCATGCAATTCGTACAGCTCCTTCTGTTGTTGCTCCAGAGACTCTTGAATGTTGCTGGTGCGCTCCTCGAACTGTATTTCACACAATTTTAACTTTTCTCGAGTAGCCTCATCAATTTGTTCCAGTTTAGCCTTCATTTCTTTCTCTTTATCAAATAATTTATTTGTCAATTCATAAATTTTCTCATCTTTCTCCTTTGCCAATTCATTTTTGATAGTCTCTATGGCTATATTAAATTTATTTTTTGTGTTTTCCTGGTCCGCTTTGCATTTGCTAATTATACTTTGTTTTTCTTCATCTATTTTGGCTTTGAGTGTCTCTAATTCAAGTTTATATTCCCTTCTAATACTTTCATTTGCTTCCAGGGCTAGGGCATGATGCCCCTTAACCATTTCTAATCTTTGTTTTGTCTCCTCTAAACATGATTCTGTATCAGAAAGTTTCTTTTGTAGATCGGAGCACAAGCTATCTCTTATAGTTATTAATTCCTCGAGAGATGCTAGTTCTATTTGTTTATGATTCACTTCATGGCCTAATAAACTACATTGTTGTTCTAATTCATAAATTTGATTTTTTAAATCATCTGTAGAATTACTTTTCTCTTCATTTTGCAAAGTACAATCATTGAAGTTTTTAATTAGTGATTCTATATTAATATCTCCATTAGACACTTGTTTAATGACTTTTTTCAAACTGGCAGTTTGAATTTTTAGATCTTCAATTTGTTTATTGTATTCTAAAATGGTGTAATCTTTGTTTCTGAAAATGTAAAAAATAAAAAGATAAATTTCAACTCAATAGAAAAGAGTATTATTTATTTTTAATAAATATAATAAATGATTATGCATACCTTATTTCAGCTTCATGGGCCTTTATAAGATCATCTTGGAGCGTTAGGTTGTTAGGAGAATGAGACACTGTAGTTACTTTTTTGGCAGTTGATTTAGGCAATGCACTTATTTTTTGAGTACTTGTACTTTTTATCACTGACTTTAAGGGTTTTGGCTGAAAGTATTAATATTATTGTTAATCAAAGTTTTGAAAATATTCACTGTCTTCTTAATCTAAAGGAGCACAAAAATGCTAAGTACCATTTCTGTCTGTTCAAATGATTTTTTTTAAGTTTCATATAATGTAAATTGATATAATTTTACATAGATATCCCACTATGGGAGGTAGCTATTTTGTACTTTACATTTTAAAAAAGGAAAATATTGTAAAACAAGTTACTGTTTAATGAAAATAATTTAAATATAGATTGAAACTTTACACTTCTCAAACTATATGAACTTATAATTTTCTACTTACAGTCACAAATGATTTAAGGCTCTGTACAGAGCTACATTGTGAATGAGTGTCTGAATGTTTCTTAGGTGTAGAAAGTGGTGTTACTTTGGGCTTGAGGGTTACAGATTTCTTGACTACTTTTTCTTCTTTTGGTGGTACCAACTTGTGTTGATTCTTCACAGGAGCTAAACAAAAAAAACAGAGATTTCACCTACATGCAGATAAACCTAACTTCATGTAAACAAAAGTTGTTAACTAGTGTTAGTTCTATAGGACGACACATATCCTTTAACCCAGATAGATAAATAGTTCATACCATTGTGTGTAATTTGCCTTTGTTTTAGAATATGTGAAATTATACCTGTAATTGTTTAAGACGATAAAGTAATTCAAACGATGTTCTTGATACACCGGTAAAAATAGATAATTAATACCAACAGTTAAATAAATCGTTTCATTTGTTTTCAAAAATGTTAAGGAATGGGAATATTTAAAAATTATTTAATTTAACAATAAATTTACTTACCAATTGGTTCAAATCTTTTAGCCTTTGAAAACATATTACACGAGTTCGTAATTGTAACTCATGCACACATGTAAATAATGAAATACAGTTCCAGTTAGGGATTACGCGCGAAACTAAACGTTGAATACCTAATGCTCGCAGCTCGCGGCCGTTATGCCAGCTGACAGCTGCAATGAAGATTCTATTGAATTATAAAAAACCGTTAATTTACGTTTCATTTTACGTTTGTAAACCGTATACCTATGTACAACATAAATATTTATATGTAGTACATTATTTTATTAAATACTAGGACTTATATTTTTTGTAAACTTGTTTTACTGTAAAAATATTAAAAAAATAATTAATAGAAAGATATAATTTCAATCTAATTACCTAATTGGAGTTCGCCATCTAACGAAGTTTTATTACTTGTAACTTATACAATCCTCTTGGCTTTGCCTTGATTGATTTTTTAAATATACTGAAATAATTAAGAAAATACAAGGGCAAGGATTCCTCCTATATTTGTAAAGCGATGTGCGTTTGTGTTATCTTTACTCTTAACTATTATCTATTCTACAGGGTGGCCAAAAAGTAGTGGATCAAACACAAATAGGGGATAGATGAGGTCATCAGCTGCAAAAAATTGTTCTACGGGAGGTCTCTAAGCTCAACCCCTGCAGAGTTATAATTTATTTTGCGTTTTATAAGAAAATTGACTTTTTTTCACTAATTCTTAAAAATCGAAAAAATCTACATTCTGTATCTTTTTCATAATATCCACTAGATTGGTACTGATGAGTTGTTGCGTTAGACATACTATTTATAGTTGCTTATTGAGTGTATTGAAGATAATATTAAGTTATACGATATAAATTTTTTTCAAATCAAAACTTTTTGTTTACTTCAGACCCCACTGTGAAAAAAAATTACTCTACCGAAAAGTTACCCTGTATTACAAGTTTTGGCGCATTTCATAGGGATTCTGAAAAGGTATTACACATGGCCATGAGTCGCCCTAATATCTTTCTAGGAAGAATTACAAACATTTCAAATAGTGCAGAATGCAATTTGGGATTTTTTATAGTGACTTGTTAATTAGCATTCAGAAAGTAAACTTTGGTAGTTGCCCATAATGGCACTTTTATGTCATATTTAACTTATTTTAGAGGATAAACGAAAGTTCAGTTTTTTAAATTAAAGAAATAAAGTACATTTATCTCCTTTTATTAAGTAAATCTTATACTAAAGCACATCAATTTTACATAGATGGAGGAGGAGGTGGTACTGGCATTAAGGGTGGTGGTGGTGGAACTCCCATCATTGGTGCACCAGGTGGGGGCGGTAAACGAATCCCATGATTTTCCCACATCTTCGAAGGAGGTGGAGGCAATCTCAATGGCTCCAGTTTAAATGCAAATTGCAAGAAAAACTGCTTTGTATCTTTATTCCAATGAGTCCAAAACTTAGAATCATGCTTCTCAACTTCTCGACTAGGCACTTTGAAGGCTATTGTCTCATAAGGCTCTGCCGCGAATAATAAATACTGCCACCTGCGGTCCGGAGGTTCTATTTTTTGTTCATAGGCTGACATAAATCTATGCCTTGGCTGCACACCTTCAGATATTTCTATAAAAATATATGTTAATTATGGAAGTTTCATAGGTATTACTAAAGTAAGATTTAAATAACTAAAAGGTCAAGAATAGGTATTCATCTCAGCATGTAACTTGGCCAGATTTTGCATAGGAGGGTGGAAATATATAATTATATAATTGTTCCTTTGTAAGAAAGAAACATACTAAGTATGTACTGTCTGCACATATAATAATACTGGCCAAGTTATTCACTATACTGTTCTATTAAAACTGAAACAAAGTCACATTACATAAAATTTCAAATGGCTCATGGTTACAGACTAAAATAACATGGAACAAGAGAACAAATTTGGCTGGAGATATTTACCTGGATAATCAACTTGAAATAGTAAACTTTGCTGTCCATTTTCAGGATCCTTTTGCTTAGTTACTCTATAACCAGGGCGTCCAATTTTTACAAACTTTTTAGGCTCAATCCTCGGTTTCTCTGGGGCCAATTGTTGTGGCGCTTCTTTGGCTTCTTTTGCAGCTCTTCGAGCTAAATTAGCCTGATGTTTCTTTCCTTGTGTATGAGCCAAGTAGCTTCCCTCATTATTATGAAGAGTTAGACAAAGTTTACACTCATAAGAACCTGGATTGAAAAAGATACACTTTTAATAATTTATAAGTTAGCAACATTTGATTAGCCTCTGCAATTTACAAGGTAATAGGAAGAAGAGAACTTCAGGCTCTAGTAAATAGGTTATTTTCATTTTTCCAATAAAATACAAACCTAAATGATTTTTCATAAAATAAGGATCCTTATTTAAGTCGATTGTTTCCAAGGCAAGCTGCCGAAGCCGCTCGCGGCGATCTCTGTTGCTTTCGGACCATGATGCTACGCCACCGCCTCCTGTTTTTCCACCAGGCCGATTTTGAAAATCCATTGATTGTTAGGAATTTCCTACATAGAATTGTTACTATGTAGGTTTACACAATCCTTATATATCGATCAATAATGGCTTATAATATCAAGCGCTTATACATTAAGGAATATAGAATTTAAATTTTGTTTGTATAGTTGTTAATATTGACAGTTGACAATACATCAACATCATTGTTCACAAAATATAACAAACTGACACCTCTGATGCAATAGATACCAGCAGATTGGGTCTCAAGCCTCAGGCCCGTAAAATTATTGCAAATTTGTTATTATGGACTAAATAATCTTCTTTTTTATAGAACAGAGGGAAAAAATTTGCAGGAGGCTCATCTGATGTTAAGTGATACTGTTAGTGTATTACGCGGCCGTACAGTCGTTTCCTGAAGAAATCGAATTGGTTCGGTAATACTTAAGTGGGTAGCCTTTTTTAGGGATCGGGTGTATTGAAGCGGTCTTCTAGCACTTCGGGACAGTGTCGAATGAGTTCAGGTCCCGAAAAATGTGCGTTAGGACCGGAGCCAACTCGGAGGAGCACAGGTACGAAGGAAGGTTATGAAGGTCCAAGGAAGATAATGCTTTGCGGGCAGCACGATGAAGAAATCATATTCTGGCATCGAAGAATCACAACGTGAAGTGGTCAGTGGTGACCTCGGCTCACCTCGACCCTCGGTCATCCAAAGTCGAGTTGAACACGAAGAGACCGCTTAAAAGGTCTTTCTTTTTTTTCGCCGTGCAGGCCAGCGACTAATTCTCCCTGTGTAGTGGAATGGAGGGCTGACAGAAATTTCCTTGGACAACTTTGGCGAGAGACCCCGAAAGAAGGCGGGCCAATCTCCCGCCAAATCTGGCAATGTGCCAGACTATCCTAGCAAACCTGGCTACCCTAGCAATATCCTATTTGCAAGAACTGGAAACTGAGTTACATGCTTTTGTAAATTCACTGGTATTGGCATCACGAGATGCCGCCCACGCTTTAAAGCATTCTCACTTTCGACCTACGTATATAGTGCCAAATACGGTGACAACCCGCAAAGCATTAAAGTGGTGGGCGGTAGTAGGAACAGTGCTTTGGACCATGCAATGATCCGACGAACCCAGAGAAGGGTCGACGGGCACTTGGTAGTTCTCTGGATGTGAGGTCAACACAAGGCCAACAAAGATGATTTGTGATCATACACATCTGGTATTTGCGTAATTGCGGAAACTATTTGTGTCAAGTCCTACGCCAAAGCAACGTCATAAAATGACCTGCCCCCGTGATCGGTGGTATCAGTGCCGAGCCCATCAGCATGGTGGGAGTTAAAGTCGCCAAGTATCACGATTTCGGCGGACTTTTTGGAGCAGGGAATCTGTTGCCATTTGGAGTGCTCAATGGGTCACAGGTCACTAGCCGGGAAGAATGTTTAAGGGAGCGTTCAAGTATTACGTAACCCAATTTTTTGAGATTATTGACCCCCCATGTAACTCGCCGTAACGTTTTTCTACTGAAGTACTACTAAGTGGGTACTCCCAAGTACACTACTGTAACCAAGTATAGTAAATCGTTTCGTGACCACCTAGTCACTCTTTAGTTACTATTACTATTATTGGTGTATGTCGAAAAAAATATTAACAATAACGCGTAATTTAACAAGACAGACATGTTTTATACCCTTTTTACGAATTTGGATGGCCTTAGAAAATAAAATACAACATATTATGCCATAAGGCCACTAAACGGAAAAAAAGATTTGGGTTAAAAAATGGGTTTTTATAATTTTCTTTTTCCGTGTCCAACGATCTAGCGATAAATCACTGGCGAATCTCGTATGACAATCTTAGGTGAGAATTTAGTTCTTGCCTGTATGTTATGGCGATTATTGCTGGTGATAGTCGCGAGAAACTAGAACTACTACTACTTTTCTATCTCCATCTAAATTGGCCTTCAGTTTGCTATACAAGCACGGTTTCTTTGCAAAACACTCAAAGTCAATTGCCATGTCTGATGTCAGTAATGATGTCAAAAATGAATGGTATTGAAAACAAAACGTCTGTCACACTCTTTTACTTGTCAAAAGTTGCGGAAGGTAGTGTTTACGAGTAAATCTAAATTTATTTCGATAATCATTTGCAAACATTAAACTATAAGATATTTAAATTGGTTTTCAGTGTTAAATAATTCCTTAATTCCATATATTTTTAAGGGTGGTGTCTTGTGTGAATTTCTGGAGATAACCTCTTAAACTTTCGTGTTTTGCAGGTATTGGTTCAAGATGTTGATGCCAAAACAAAACCGTGTCTCTATTTACGAGTACCTCTTTAAAGAGGGTGTTATGGTGGCCAAAAAAGACTACCATGCCCCAAAACACCCGGATCTAGAAAAGATTCCAAACCTCCAAGTTATCAAAGCTATGCAATCCTTAAAATCAAGAGGTTATGTTAAGGAACAGTTTGCATGGAGGCATTTTTACTGGTAAGTGTGCAATATAATTAATTCATGATTGACCTCAAAGGCTTCGAAAATATGTGAACGACTATATATTTTAAGAGCCACTTACGTATTTATAAATTGTCATGTTCAATTTTCTTATATATTATGAGCAGTTATCTTAGTTTAAAGCTCAGACGTTGTTGTTCCAGCTAACGTAAGCTATTTCCTGCTTTCAATTATAATATATAACAGGTATCTTAGTATATATTACTTTGTATGAAATGCGCCTTTCAACAGATATAATTAATGGGCAAACAAAACTTAAATAAGTTAATTCAGTTATGTTTACATTAATTCAGAAGTTTTGTATGTACCTTAAGATTTGCTAAAACATTGATAAAGAATTATCCAAACCTAGGTAGAGAGAGGAGTAAGATGGAAAATGACCCTTATTTTATATTTTTTGACCAGGAAATAATAGTAATATTTTATTATGATTTACAAATAATTGTATCCAGAATGAATAGTTATCAAATTGATTTTCAGGTACTTGACCAATGAAGGTATTGAGTACCTTAGGATTTTCCTTCATCTGCCACCTGAAATTGTGCCCGCTACCCTTAAGAGATCAGTTAGAACCGAGACAGTCCGGCGTGGAGCTGTGGGCCGTCCTGATGCTCCTGCCAGATCTGCAGAAGACAGATCAGCATACCGTCGTGCACCAACCACACCTGGTGCACCTCATGATAAGAAAGCTGATGTTGGACCTGGCACAGCAGATCTTGAATTTGTAAGTTGGTTCATAATTCATTCGTATGTAGTTAAAATAGAATTCAGAAACAAGGCTTAGTGTAAACTAGGGCCCCTATACATAATGTCAATCTGATTAATTTTTGACATATGGGAGACAGACTTAGCACTAAGTCTTGTTTCTCAATCTTAAGTCTTAAGTAGTATCACTAAAACATGTTTCCATCATTGTTTGTGTGATAAAACACATAAAAATGCCTAAAACAAATACTGTCCTTTATAACTTGTACTATACAGGTAATAAATAAACTTTCCTATATTGTTTCAGAGAGGAGGATATGGACGCGGCAGGCCTACACCCTAAATTAAGTTTAATAAAATTATAACATAACATTTTGTTTTTTTATTAAACTTAGGTACACTTCCCTAGTACTTCATTGCAATATCTCTATAGTAAGCCATGTAGATATTTGGTGTATGTAAGAGTTACAAATTTTTAGATTAGATTCCTGTAAGAATTCAATATGTATTATTTTAAAGTAATAAGGATTGCACAAAAACTAAAAATGAAAACTGAAATAATTTATTGAAACTCCATCTACATATTTAAATGTTACTACTGTTCAGATTAAGCTGTGTACACAGGTGGTGGTGGTGGAGTAGGGAACTCTCCAATTTGGTCAATGTAGTACTGGTGGGCCCTGTATGGCTTCAGTTCCCATGGTACTTGATCTTCCATGTGCGTAAGAGTAACACCAAGGTCTTCTAATGTTGGTAAATTCATGTCCACAACATCTGTTGTGCATTCCTAAAAAAAAAATTGTAATTCTTAATGTTGAGATAGTCCTGTTAACCTGGAGAAATTATGGGTTTCTTATTTTACCCCTTTTCTTAGCTAGAATCATTGTTCTCATTAAAATGTCAACCATAAAAATTTTAATCAAACTACAACTGGACCATTGAAACATCCTTGTCCTTGATGACCATGACTACTGCAGAAGTTTTGAATAATTGAATTTCTAAGTAAATAGCTACATTTATTTTAAATTACATATCAAAAGAAGTGATCTTCTAATTTTAATATTTTTTAAAATGTTACCTTTTCAAGACCTTCCCAATGCAGACCACCAAATGGATATGCAGGTGATAACTTATTGGCTACCATTACTTTTAGTGGGAAAAGGATTGGGTCATATTTCATGTCATAATGCTTAAATCCCCAGCTTTCATCTTTACGCATCAACTGGAAGAACCAGACCACAAGATCTTTCCAAAGATATCTCTTTGGCCTAAAAATAAATGTATAATTTTTTTTGCTATCATAACAATCTAACAGCTCACTGTAAATAAGTAAACTTGTATGTCAATTTTCAAATATTCATACCCAACACCTTGGTAGACCTTGCATCTAGTATCAGGATCACGAGCAGCATTGACAATTGCCTGGGCTACATCAGACACAAAAACAGGCTGTTTTACAGTAGCCTCACCATTCTTGTATAGTGGCAATAATTGGGAGTGACGTCTCCAAACAGATGCAATACTCCTGGAATAATAATAAGCTTAAATACAACTAATAAAAATTCTTGCACAATTATCTAACTTAAAGTTAAAATATAGCCATTGGTTTCATTCCAGATATTATTTCAATTTATAAGTTACAATACATACTTTAGGAACCTGTCCTCCGAGCCATAGATATCAGAAGCACGAATTACAGTTGCAGTTGGAAACTCTTCCTTCACAGCACATTCACCCATAAACTTACTGATCTTGAATAATGATGGACTTTTCATAACAAGAGGCTTAGGGTTACGTTCAGCATTTAGGTATGAAAGGTGAATAAACCTTTCTACACCCATTTCACGGCTGATTCTATAACAAATTTTGTTTTAAGATCTAAAGCAAAAAATTTGTAACGATAATAATTATTATTGATTTATTACAACAGCCAACATGAGATAAAGGATCTTGTGTGTTTGTTCTTATCAGTTTTAGTTAATTTAATTGTAATAGAAGTACATTTTTTTACATATTTTATATGTGTAATTAAAATAATAGTTAGAAATTATAAGACTATCAAGAGCAACTTCTAGTTTATATAAGCTGGATATGTTAAAAAAAGTTATTTAAAAGCTGTTTATTTATTTAATTTAAATATATTTATAGATATATTGAAAAACTAAGTATTGTAAAAGTTATATTATAATTTAAAAGATTAATTTATTAAAAAAATGAGTTTAAAGACAAACCTTGCAATACGCCTGGCACCTTCAACATGCACATCATTGTATTTGAAGTTCTTAGTTTCATAGTCCCTACCAACAAGATTGATAACCACATTGGAATATTGTACAGCTCTGGCAATAGATTCATCATCACGAATATCAAAAGGTGTAAAAAGAACCTGACCAAGGTCTCCACAAACTTTTAATCTAGCTGCATCATAAAAATCACCCCTGTATGGCAAAATCATCTAAAAAAGAGGAATCATGGTGTGTTTTTGATTCTTATATTATTTATATACATTAAAACAACTATACCATACTTGAGTGCCAATCTTGCCTAGTTTGTTACAAACATAGCGACCCACAAACCCGGTGCAACCAAACACGGTGGCTACAACACCGTTGAAGCTACTTCGGCCACCAGTACCTCTCTTAATAGCAGCAAGGTTAGTTTTAGCCTCAGAACTGTATGATGACGATTTGATATAAATGATGCTAACTGCTCCGTTTTTACCTACAAAAATATATTAAATAAAGTGAATAGGTAAAACTTTTAGTTTTATTATTATTTATTAAATTTGTCTTTACGTCAAATTATGTAAGATCAAATAAGTATCTCGGGAACCATTGAGAAAAATACTTACACAGGAGTTTGGATACCGATGGGCCTTTTAATGCCAATGAAGTCATTTTGAGGCTTAAATTGTGGTATTTCCTTTCAAATTATTTCGTCGATTTAATCAATAATCAGTGGAAATCATTACAAAAATTGAAAAAAATAACTACTGTGACAGTAGTTTTGTCAGTGTCAAAACCAGATGATCAGTTGTCATTTGTCAGTACAAAAATTAGTTATGCGATAATCAATTGTCTTTGTGGAAGGATTCCGTCGTTGCGGGTATAAGTGTTTACACGTGTTTCGGATATCATTATTTAGTATTTTCTATTTTTTTCTCGTAGTTTAATGAATATAAGTTGACTTATCCTATTGGTGGTGGTTAATTAATAACATCAACTAATTACGTAAGTTATTTTTATTTATTTGTTATATTTCTCCCTTTACCTTGTTATATTTTTGGTAGTCTATAATGGAGAAACGCCCTCCAGACCCCCCTGATCCTCCGGATAGGGTCTCTTCTCCGGTGGAATCAATGGATTTATCCACCCCACTGTTGCCCCAACCTGGTGTCAAGCGCAGACTTGATACTGTCAATGAATCTTTAGTGGAACCTTCCAAAAAACCAATGACCGATGTCCGGTCATCTGTTGATGACGTCAACCCAGGATTTTACTCCCATCCATCTCTCACTGGCTCTCCCAAGTCATACCTTGTCAATGACAAGGGCCCTTTTTTAGTCCATGTTTCTTGCCCTGAATCTGACCCATCCGCTGGTACATCAATCCGCCCAATTAAATTTGGTCACTTCTTGGTAAAAAATAAAATACCTAACATTGTTCGAGATGGTGTTAAGAGAGTGGGACGTAATAGAATATCTGTTGAGTTTAAGTCGGGCTTAGATGCGAATAATTTTGTGTCTAATCCCATTGTACCTTCCAGCAACTATTCTGTTACGATTCCTAACTATAATGTTTCCCGTATGGGCCTTGTGAGAGGTGTCCCAGCTGATTGGTCGATGCAGGAATTTGTCGAAACCTTGGAAATTCCCGAAGGTACAGGTATAGTCCTCAAGGCCAGACGCCTAAACCGCAAGACGAACTCCGATGGTCAAATTAATTGGATCCCAACACAAACCGTTGTTCTAACTTTTCAAGGTCAAACCCTTCCTGAGAGAATATTCTCTTGTCATAGTTCCCTCCGCGTTGAAACGTACCAACTCCCTACAATTCAGTGCCTTAACTGTTGTAGGTTTGGTCACGTAAAGTCACAATGCCGATCGAAGCCTAGGTGTTTTCGTTGTAGTCTAGCCCATTCTGGTGATGAGTGTAATATCCCTGAAACAGAGTCATTATGTTTATTTTGTACTGCCTCACACTTTGCGACCAACAAAGCTTGCCCTGAACATAATCGACAAAGAAATATAAAGAGTTGTATGTCTCAAGAGAGCATTTCTTATCTCGAAGCATCGGCTCGGTTTAGACCTATCAATGGCAAAACTTTTGCAGATTCTGTAAAAACAACCCCCTCCTCTTTATCCCAGCCCATTACTTTACCTTCCCAAGTTTCCCGTCAGACTACATCTTACAGGAAAACTGTATTTCTCCCTCCTCGCTCTAGACCAACATCAGGAAAATCCTTTGATAAGGCGGCCCATGAGGCCATTACTTCCAATTTACCCTCCTCTTTACCCAATGGTTGTGCCGTAAGCTCCCCTTCCCTTATCAACAATGAAGTCTCCCCAAATGAAAATCTTCTTGACTGCTTATGGGCAGTCATTTGTAATATGCTATCCAAGTATGATGACATCCCCATACCGTCCCACGTTGCCCAAAAAATTAATTTGCTCCACTCATTCGTCACCAAAAATGGCGAATCTGGTAATTCAGTGGAACTGTAACAGTATTCGCAGTAAAAAATCAGAATTAACCTTTCTTATCAATAAATTCGCTCCATCTATTCTAGCCATTTCGGAGACTTGGTTATTGCCGGGTTCCCGCTTTAGGGTTTCTGGGTACCGGTGTCTCCGAGATGACAGGGATGATGGCTATGCTGGCTGTGCCTTTTTGGTCAGCCGATCCCTCACCTTCCACGCATTATCTCTTCCTCATTGTGATGGTATCAATGCTGTTGCTATGAGAGCTTTTAATATCTCGTTTATTTCTGTTTATATTCCCCACCCCCATTTCGACCTCATTTCTGATATACGTTCTATTATCCTTTCGGTTCCTCCTCCTGTTGTCATGTTGGGTGATTTCAATGCCCACCATGTTTCTTGGGGTTGTCATTCCTCAGATTCTTTTGGGTCCCTTCTACTAGATTTACTCGATGATATAAACATAAGTGTCTTGAATAATGGTTGTCCTACGAGAAGGAGTCTTCCATCTCAGAATCCCGCTAACGCAGTGGATTTATCACTTTGTTCTCCTGATCTTTTCCCTTTTCTATCCTGGCGTGTTTTTAAGAGCACTTGTGGGAGTGACCACTTCCCCATTTTAATTGATCTCCCAACCAATTTAAAGAGCGTTACTCGCCCTTCCCCTCTTTTAAAATTTAAACTGAATCAGGCCAATTGGTCAGACTTTTCATCATCTATTGACTCTAAGATAGCTGCGCTCCCCGCAGTCTCTGCTGAAAACTGCCTATCTTCATACAATGATTTTGTCAACTCCCTCACCTCATCTGCCAGTTTACATATTCCACTCAAATCTTCTACACAAAGGAAAATTTCTCCTCCTTGGTGGGATTCCGAATGTACTGAGATGATTCGAAAAAGAAAAACGGCAGAAAGGTCATACAGTCTTTGCATGACCTTGGAAATTTTTTTAGTCTACCAACAAGCTTCTGCAGCTGCTCGCAGACTTCTAAATAATAAGAAACGTCTTGGTTGGCATAAGTTCTGTGAGAGCATGTGCCCTGGTACCCCTTCGTCTGTTGTTTGGAGGCAGATCAGAAGATTCCGTTGTTCCCTCAATTCTTATGATGTCCCATTTAATGATCCGTCTAGCTGGATTACCTCCTTTGCCGACAAATTGGCTCCTCCATCAGTCCCTTTTTATGATTGTCTTCCTTATAAGTATAATTCTTACATCCCCTCTTCAAACAGTCTAGATTGTCAATTCTCCTTGGAAGAACTTAACAAAGCATTAAATGGTCTCTCTGACTCTTCCCCTGGAGAAGATGGAATCCCTTACTCATTCCTCATAAATTCTGCATTAGGCACTAAGAGGTACTTTCTAGATTTAGTAAACTGTTTTTTCGATCTTGGAATTATTCCTGAATCGTGGAACAGACAAATCGTCATTCCGCTTCTAAAACCTGGCAAAGATCCATCAGATTTCTCTTCATACAGACCTATTGCTTTGTCTTCTACCCTTTTAAAAATCATGGAACATTTGATTAAAATTCGTTTAGAATGGTTTTGTGAAAATAACAATATCTTTGCAAAATCCCAGTTTGGTTTCAGGAAAGGCTTAAGTACGATGGATAGCCTAAGTATAATAACGACCGACATTCGCATTGCTTTTAAAAAGAAACAGTTCCTGGTGGGTGTTTTCTTGGATATCGCATCTGCGTATGACCACGTGCTGGTTCCGGTGCTCAGGCAAAAAATGCTTCAGCTGAGTATTCCTGAGAAGTACCAAACGTTTTGTTTGCAATGCAGTTTCGAATCGTTATATTATTATAAGATCTCAAAATACGGAGCTGTCTCCTAGATCTATTTGGAGGGGCTTACCTCAAGGTTCTGTTTTGAGTCCTCTTCTGTACAACATTTACACCTATGACCTGGAGCTTGTTGTGAATTCCTTCTGTCAGATTCTTCAATACGCGGACGATGTAGCCTTATACTTTTCATCAAATTCTATTGAAGAGGCATCATCACGCCTAAATTCAGCTTTGGATTATTTGGGTGATTGGTTAAATGATCATGGTCTCTCTATTTCTGTGCCCAAATGTTCGGCGGTCACGTTTACTACAAAATACAAGGTTCCACGGTGTAACATTTCATATAAAGGGTCCTTGGTATCGTGTTGTAAGCAAGTAAAATTTTTAGGCCTTATTTTAGACTCAAAGTTAAACGGTGTTCCTCATTTTAACCATGTGATTAAAAAAAGTGAGAAGGGTGTTAATGTTCTCCGTTCATTATCTGGTGTGAGGTGGGGAGCACACCCCTACTCGCAAAAGCTTTTATACAATGCTGTGGTACGAAGTCATTTTGATTATGGCACCTTCCTTTTAGATCCTGGCAACAAGCAAGCCCTTGATAAAATTTCCAAAATTCAATCGAAATCTTTACGCATCATCCTTGGTGCTATGAAATCCTCTCCCATCAATGCTCTCCAAATAGAATGTGTTGACCCCCCCCCTGTATTTACGTAGACAATTTTTAAGTGACCGCTTCTTCATCAAAGTCCTTCAATACTCTTCTCATTCCATCTTGTCCAAATTACGTCGCTTATCTAATCTCACGATGCCATCTAGTACAGGTAATGTTCCATGCCTGTTACACAGTTTTAATAAACTTTCTCGTCTTCCTAATCCTGTTGAAAGTTTCCCTAGTAATCCCTTGTTTTTAAATAGTTATGAATCCCTCATTTTTGATCCTAAAATAATTTTAAACTTTGGAATTGAAAAAAAATCCACCCAAGCTTCCACTTGTTTTCTGGAAAAAATTTCAAAAGACTTCCAGGGTTGGTTACCGATGTATACTGATGCTTCCAAGATTCCCAATAATGAGTGCATCGGTGCGGCTGTATGGGTCCCTTCATTCAAAACAGTATTGAGCTTTAAACTTCCTCCATTGACCTCCGTTTTTTCAGGTGAAGCTTTTGCAATCCTAGAAGCGGTTTTGTATGCTGAGTCCCACAACCTAAATAAAGTTACAATTTTTTCCGATTCTCGCAGCTGTTTACAGGCAATTCTTTCCAATCCATTCAAGTCTAAAAAAAAAACATAATACGATTCTAAAAATAAGAGAAGCTTTGTTTAGGTGTAGTAAAAAAGATATTCATATTGTACTTTTGTGGATACCTAGTCATTGTGGTATAGCGGGTAATGAAACTGCTGACTCTTG